TTGCATGGATTGTACTGCCTGGGTGCCTAGTAAGTATGAGATGCTCCGTTCTCCCTCTGCATCCTTGCATCTCTTCGCTCTTCTCATTGTACCATACGTCTGGCCTTATTGGACTTCTTAGAGTTCTTTGAACAGGACACTCTGCTTTTCCTTGCCTTTGTGTCTTTACACCTGCTTTTTTTGTCTTTTGGGAAACCTTTTCTCCCTCTGCCTTCTGAGATACCAGCCTCTTCCTCTTCAAGACAGACTTGCTGTGTCTTTTTTTTTTTTTAATCTGGATAACATATTTAAATGGATTTAAAGAGTGGCATCTTTTACCATTCTTGTCAGGTAGCACCTTTGGAAGTCCTTCCCTGACCTCCCAAGCATGGATTAGGTTTCCATTTTCTGTGCTCCTCAAATATGCTACACTTGTGTTTACATTAGCTCCTAATGTACTGAATCATAACTGATCATCTGAATATCAGACTGAGCTTGGGACTTGGCTCTCAGCCTCTTATCACCTGTTTGGTGAATGAGGATTTAATGGGAGTTGAGAAATATAAGTCAAACTGCAGCCAAACTGAAAATCCATAATTAAGGAGCTGTAACATCATTACTGCGGAGCGACTTAATACAAGGGACTTATTTTTCAGAATCTCTCAAAGATGAGTCACTATTTGATTAAATTACTTGTGAAGAGGCGGGTTTAGTAATTTAGGACCCTTGACTAGTCTTTAATCTTACATAAGGGAGAATACTTTGTTTGCATTCTGACTGGGGGTCTTTTTCTCTCTCTGCTGTGCTGTCCCAGGCCATTAGTCATCAGGCATTCCCATCCTCTTTCTCGAGTGGAGCCTAAGAAACCTCTCTTGGGTGCACAGAAAGCTAAGTCCTGTCTTGTCTCCGGTGTAATCAGTTTTTGAAAATTCTGTCTGGAAGTCTAAAAAAGCATGTTAATATGTTCAGATCTTCCTCCGTTTCCCCTCCATGGTTGTCAATATGGTATTCCCTTGTGGTTATCTGTATAACCATAATCTGGAAACTTGGGGCTTACCTTTGACCCTTAATCTCTTTCATTTCCTTCATGGGTTCATCATCACGTCTGGTCCACTTTGACTACTCCCTGCCTCTTCAGTGCGGCCACTTTTCCGACATCTCCCCTGCTAGCTGCTGCAGACCACGCTGTCATCATGTCTTGCCTGTAGTATTGCCGTTAACTTCTCTCCCTGTACCCATTCTTGGTCCCCTCCAATCTGCTCTTGACCAGACAGCAAGAGTCATCTTTTTATATCTCAAAACTGTTCATTTATTTATAAACCAGGCGGCTGGGTGTGCTCCTGAAGGGGCAACATGAGAGATCCTTGCAGTGATGAACCTGCCCTGTATCTTGTGTCCATGATGATAATCCTGATCACAGTATTGTGCCTCAATGTTGCAAGATGTTACCACTAGGGGAAACTGCGTAAAGGGTAGACAAGATCTCTCTGTCCTCATTTCTTAAAATTGCATGTAAAGCTACAATTATCTCAACATTTCAGTAGAAATATTATTACCCTGTTTAAAATTCTTCACTACTTTCCTACTCCTTTCAGAATAAAGCCTAAAGTACTTACTTTGATCTTCTGTGACGTGCATCATCTGACTCACCATGTCCAGCCTGGTTTATTAGATACCGGTTTCCTGCTAGCTGTGATCCGGACACACTGACCTTCTTACACTATCTTTAATATGCTAGTGTCTTCGCTTACAGCCTTCCTACTCACTTCCTTCTGCCCAAAATACTGTTCTTTACATTCTCTTGATGAATTCCTTCTCATCCTTTGTATATCAGCTTCATTTTCTTTTCTTTTTTTGGCATTTTATTTTATTTTAATTTAAATTCAATTTAATTAACTTAGTGTATTATTAGTTTCAGTGGTAGAATTTAGTGATTCATCAGTTGCATATAACACCCAATGCTCATTCCATCAAGTGCTCTCCTTAATGCCCATCACCCAGATACCCTCCCCCATCTCCCCTCTAGCAACCGTCAGTGTGTTTCCTGTGGTTAAGAGTTTCTTATGGTTTGTCTCCCTCTCTGTTTTTGTCTTATTTTTCCTTCCCTTCCCCTGTGTTCATCTCTTTTGTTTCTTAAATTCCACATATGAGTGAAATCATGTATTTGTCTTTCTCTGACTTATTTTGCTTAGCATAATACCCTCTAGTTCTATCCACATCATTGCAAATGGCAAGATTTCATTCTTTTTGATGGCTGAGTAATCTTCCTCTGTGTGTGCGTGTGTATGTATACACACACTATATATATATATCCCACCTCTTCTTTATCCATTCATCTGTTGATGGACATTTGGGCTCTTTCCATATTTTGGCTATTGTGGACATTGCTGCTATAAACATTGGGGTGCCTGTGCCCCTTCAAATCACTGTGTTTGTATCCTTTGGATAACTACCTAATAATGCAATAGCTGGGTCCTACAGTAGCTCTATTTTTTTTTTTTAAAGATTTATTTATTTATTTGAGAGAGCGAGAATGAGAGCGAGAGAGAACATTAGAGGGGGAAGGGTTAGAGGGAGAAGCAGGCTCCTTGCTGAGCAGGGAGCCCCATGCAGGACTCGATCCGGGGACTCCAGGATCATGACCTGAGCCGAAGGCAGTGGCTTAACCAACTGAGCCACCCAGGCGCCCCAGTAGCTCTATTTTTAACTTTTCCAGAGTGGCTGCACCAGTCTGCATTGCCACCAGCAGTGTAAGATGGTTCTTCTTTCTCCGCATCCTCACCAACATCTGTCGTTTCCTGACTTGTTAATTTGAGCCATTCTGACTGGTGTGAGGTGGTATCTCATTGTGGTTTTGATTTGTATTTCCCTGATGCTGAGTGATGTGGAGCATTTTTTCATGTGTCTGTTGGCCATTTGTATGTTGTCTTTGGAGAAATGTCCATGTCTTCTGCCCATTTCTTGACTGGATTATTTGTTTTCTGGGTGTAAGTTCTTTATAGATTTTGGATACTAGCCCTTTATCTGATAAGACATTTGCAAATATCTTCTCCCATTCCATAGGTTGCCTTTTAGTTTTTTTTTTTTTTTTTTTTTTTTGCCTTTTAGTTTTGTCAACTATTTCCTTTGCTGTGCAAAAGCTTTTTATCTTGATGAAGTCCTAGTAGTTCATTTTTGCTTTTGTTTCCCTTGCCTTTGGTGATGTGTCTAGCAAGAAATTGCTGCAGCCGAGGTCAAAGAGGTTGCTGCCCATGTTCTTCTCTGGGATTTTGATGGATTCTTGTCTCACATTTAGGTCTTTCATCCATTTTGAGTATATTTTTGTGTATGGTGTAAGGAAATGGTCCAGTTTCATTCTTCTCCATGTGGCTGTCCCAATTTTCCCAACACCATTTGTTGAAGAGACTGTCTTTTTTCCATTGGATATCCTTTCTGCTCTGTTGAAGATTAGTTGACCATAGAGTTGAGGGTCCATTTCTGGGTTCTCTATTCTGTTCCATTGATCTGTCTGTTTTTGTGCCAGTACCATACTGTCTTGATGATTATAGCTTTGTAATATAGCTTGAAATCTGGAATTGTGATGCCTCCAGTTTTGATTTTCTTTTTCAGTATTCCTTTGGCTATTCGGGGTCTTTTTTGGTTTCATACAAATTTTAGGGTTCTTTGTTCCAGCTCTGTGAAAAGAGTTGATGGTATTTTCATAGAGATTGCATTGAATGTGTAGATTGCTCTGGGTAGCATAGACATTTTAACAATATTTGTTCTTCCAATCCATGGGCATGGAATGTTTTTCCATTTCTTTTTGTATTCCTCAATTTCTTTCATGAGTGTTCTATACAGAGTACAGATCCTTTACCTCGTGGGTTAGGTGTATTCCTAGGTATCTTACGGTTTTTGGTGCAATTGTAAATGGGGTCAATTCCTTGAATTCTCTTTCTTCTGCCTCATTGTTAGTGTATAGAAATGCGACTAACTTCTGTGCATTGATTTTATATCCTGTGACTTTGCTGATTTCCTCTATCAGTTCTGGCAATGTTTTGGTGGAGTCCTTTGGGTTTTCTACATAGAGAATCATGTCATCTGTGGAGTGAGAGTTTGACTTCTTCTTTGCCAATTTGTATGCCTTTTATTTCTTTTTGTTGTCTGATTCTCAGCTTCATTTTCATTTCTTAAAGAGAAGCTATTCCTGATTCTCCAGACTAAGTCAGATTTTTTCTGTTAGGAGTTCATAAAATAGTATGTTTCCCTTATAGCAGTCACTATAGTTTGTATGCATTCACATTTGTGTGTTTTTTTTTTTTAATTTTTTATTTTTAAGTAATGTGTATACCCAGTATGGGGCTCAAACTCACAACCCCAAGATTAAGAGTAGCACACATGCTCTATCAAGTGAGCCAGCCAGGTGCCCCTCTTTTTTTTTTTTCTTTAAGGTGAATTAACAAATTATTCCGTAAGTATGATAAGAATTTTTTTTTTCCATGTGGTTCTTTAATTCGTATCTGTCTCTTCCACTAAACTCCATGGGGGCAGAGTCTGTGTCTTTATCCCTAGCATTCAATACAGTGAGTGATGAGAACATGTGAGACATGAAAGACAGTGTCTTTCTTTCTTTCTTTTTTTTTTTTTTAAGATTTTATTTATTTATTTGACAGAGAGAGAGACAGCGAGGGAGGGAACATAAGCAGGGGGAGTGGGAGAAGGAGAAGCAGGCTTTCCGCAGAGCAGGGAGCCCGATGTGGGGCTCGATCCCAGGACCCTGGGATCATGACCTGAGCTGAAGGCAGGCGTTTAATGCCTGAGCCACCCAGGCACCCCGACAGCGTCTTTCCCTCTCAACCTGTTCCCTTATTGGCGTGTAGGAAACACCTTACATACTTAGGCCAGAAGAATAGGTCCCAGTTGTTCTCTTCCCAGATCATGAGTTTGAATTTCTCTTGGATTGTCTAAAAACATACCTCTGTTAGGCATTTATTAGAGGAAGAATAGGATATGGTTGAGTAAGATGAATGCTCTTGATCCTGATGGTTCGGTCTACCGGTGAGCCATTTCAGGGCCTGGACTACTTGTCTCTGGAACATGGCCAGCCTTGGATTTGTTGAGTAGGTGGAATTCATTTGGAGCTGAAATTCATTGGCTTTCTGAATGGTCAAAGCTATTTTCATTGGTTTGGCAGAATTCTCTGTTGTTACATTGTATATTGGCCTACCAAAAGTGAGGTCCCATCTCTATGAGTATGGGTGTATGATTTGGTGAGTGTTAATGTTCTTAGTTGTGGACAGTAGAATCCACACTAGCTAGAATAGAAAGAGATATTGGTTAGCATATAGAATTTTGGGGAAGACCAGACAATTAAGCTTGGATCTGACAGAGGCAGAAGCAGTATAACCGGAAAAAGTGCTCAGTGACACCAAAGGACTATTTGAGCAAAATGCCACAGCTGCCACAAAGTTAGAGATCAGATAGCAGAACTTTTAGAACTTCTGCTAAGTAAGTTCCTACAGAAAAACCATGACTGTTTGACACTCGAGTGCCCAAATAATAGTCAGTCCCACTTTGGTCTTCTGAGTCTTGTACAGGTGTGCCTGCTTGGTAGAAACTGCCTTATACATGGGACCTTAGCTGCAAGGGAATCTAAGGAGTATAGTCTGTAGCTTTCCAGTCCCTTGGAGGAGGAAAGCATGCTAGAACCTGGCACTGGGTGAGCTAGTCTGTGTTGTCTGCCATAGCAGATTAAGGGCTGACCATTACAGACAGACCTCATTGGTAAGTGTTTTATTTGAGTTTAGTGCAAATGATTAAGCTTGGTGTACTACCTTTTAGGAACTTAACATGGGAACATATAACATGAAACAGAGTAATGTATTTTAGACTCTCAGTGGTGGATTTTGCCTGTGCTGAGTTATGCACCTTATGGAGCTATATGGTTTTGCATTGTACCCATATGTTTGCCTATTCATTCATGGAATGTTCTTATCGAGGGCACTGAGTGTTGGCTGTTCCATACGGTACTGGGAGCTAGTAATGCAAAGGAGAGTAAGACAGTCTGCATTCAGGAAACTCACAGACTTGGTGTGGCAGTGTTTTTCAGCAGAGATGTGCATTTACATTAAGTTGTGAAGTTAAAAAGTAAAAAAGCAGGACTCCACATTTAGATCTCCACTCTGAGCTGCATGCACCAGTGTGAAGTTCCTAAGGGAGACTGATATGCAGAGTCCAGGAGCCAGATTTTTAGCAGACTTTCCTATTGATTCTTAAGCATTCTCCCTTGGTAAAGAACCATTGGTCCAGTGGATCAGTTAATAACCATTTTGTTTTATTGCTTTTGAAATCTTATGACTATATTTCTGCTTGTAACAGTTGTTTCCCACTTTGCTTTAAAAAGTTGTAAAAATACATACTTGTTTTACAGGAGCAGAGTTACCAGGGCAGGTTATTTCCATGGCAGCTTCTACTCTGGCAACCTTGGCCATCTCCATCACAGGGTACGAATCAAACCCTGAGGACCCGCCCTCCGCCCACCCTGCAGGTGACTGACCTTACGAAGGAATGTTTTCAAAATCATTCTGAAAATGAAAGACGCTTTATAAAGGATAAACTTAAGGACATGAGCATCACAGAATGTAATTTACTGGTCCTTCCTTTTCCTCTGATTTCTCTTTTTACACTTTTTCCTCCTCTCATCTTTGTTCTCACATAATCACTTTTTTCATGCTTTTAATTATTTACCTTTTTATGTTTCTTATCTTGAATCTTTATCTTTTCCCTTTTTTTTAAAAAAAAAAGCTTTTCTTATTTTTCTTTTGTTATTCCTTCTCACTTTCCTTTCATTTTATTTTATTTTTCTTAGTGCCCTGTGTACCTTTTCCATATTTTTTCCCACTCAATCCTTTCCTTATTTTCCACTTCTTTAGCTGTCAGTTCTTCTCCATTGTTCTATTTTGCTCTCTTTACATTTGTTCTCTTTACATTTTGCTTTTGTTGTTGACCCAACTTTTTTTTTTTTTCTCTCTCTTACAGTCATCCATTTCTCTGGCATTTCTTGCTTTACTTCTCAAAGTTTGCTTTGCATGCCTCATGCTGTTACTATATTAACTGTTTCCCCTAAAGCGGGCTGTTTGGTTGTTCTGGATACCATGCTCCTAAGAGATCCAGCTGGTAGATTTACATCAGCTTTAAAGTCACACTGTCCTCACACAGGGTTTAGGAATGGAAAGGGCCATCTCTGTGCCAAGCGGTCTACTAGAGCCAGGGGATTTGCAGTTACAGAATATTTTTGGTGAGCTCTTCCTGAACAACTGACTTTAGAAAACTCTTGAAAGGAGGGATCAGCTAAGAAAAGTCATTTGGAGTGGTAGGAAAACACATTTTTATTTCACATTGAATCATGTTTTCAGAATGAAGGAGGGGATGATGTTTTGGTGATGAACTTACTCTTCTTCTAAGTATCTACCACACCCACCAACATGCAGTTTCCAAATTAGAAAGATTCTTAAAGAGCAGAGTCAAACAGAAGCGTATTATAACTAGTTTGGGCTTTAGCCCCAGACCTCAGGGTGGAATGTTAGTTCTGGTGAGATGGGCCGACTTACACTGTTCTAGTGTGTCAGTAGTAACAGTTTACTCACAGATAAACATTTAACATTAGGAGAGGCACTAAGGACATTATAATACAGCACTCAGAGGGCTACTGTGTAGTTCCTTATGAACATTATGAAATGGGAGGGAAGGTTGTCTTTCAACAGTATTTAGGGAGCACCCACTGTATGTCAGGTACTATTCTGTGTGCTGTTCAGCGGAGGGAGAACAAGACAGACAAGGTCTTAGCTCTCCTGGAGGTGACATTCAACTGAAGGAAGAAAGTGCGACAGGGTAAGTGGAACACGATATAACTACATAAAACTATGTAAAAACTATGGGACAGTATGGGGGTTCTTGTTTCTTTCCTTTATTTTTGAGACTTTATGAAATATAATATCCTTTTGTCATTAGCTTTTTTAATGGAAGGCAAAATGCAAGTTGTAGGGTGTTACTCATTTTCATCATCATGGCATATACTGAATAATATTGCTTTAAGACTTATATGATTTCTGAGGTATATGGTATGTTTTGGTAAAACCAGGAAATAGAAATAATATAACCCTATAGTAAAAGGTAACTTGGTAGTTGCATTGTTAGAAAACAGTACTTTATGTGAACTCATTCGGTATGGTCTCCTTTATTTGAAAATTCCTCACCCCCAGCAATCTGTCGTTGTTTTATTTCTCATTCTAAGGGAACGACCTGTTTCAAAGCCCTGGGTTTGTTTTTATAAGAGCAGTTGGCTCCATTTTAGGTGAAATGACACTGAAAAGCCGTGTTGTATCAGAAATACATATATATCTAATAAAATTATATTAAAAGAGGTGACATTTTTAGATCTAGGAATTCTGTATCTTAATGTTTGTTGCTTTATACAGTTTGAGGAGTTTTCATGGGGTAATTATAATTCTCAGCTATTTTGTCATAATTTTTGTTTAAATTACATATATATAAAACTTGGAACAGTATGAAATGTATACAGTAAAATGTGAAAAACTCACCATACCCAGCTCTACCCCCCAACGAACTCAATTTCTCTAGATTTTTTTTTTTTTTTAAAGATTTTATTTATTTATTTGACAGAGCGAGAGTGAGAGCAGGAACACAAGCAGGGGGAGTGGGAGAGGGAGAGGGAGAAGCAGGCTTCCCGCCGAGCAGGGAGCCCGATGCGGGGCTCGATCCCAGGACCCTGGGATCATGACCTGAGCCGAAGGCAGACGCTTAACGACTGAGCCACCCAGGCGCCCCTCAATTTCCCTAGATTTAAATACGGTCAGTAGTGTAATTCTCTACACGTTTTTCAGTGCATATGCAAACACACATCCAGATCCTTGTTTCTTTTTTAACCCAGTGTAATCATGCTGCCAGAGTCCATTTTGAAGGTTTACAGTAGAGTAGCTTAGTGAATTGCGCCATAGGACTGCTAACTAATGTGGACTAATATGGTGGTGATTTTACCCCCCTTTTCAGAAACTATGGACAGAGGAGAGCCCCCTGCAGCGCTGTCCTCCTCTCCTTCACCCACTCTGGGCAGACAAAGGCCTGAAATGGGAACGTTTGTCAGGAAGAAGAAGACCAGCGACATCTACTTCGTGTCCCTTGTGTGGGCCATTATTGGAGTCCAGCTCTGGTTGAATCTGTGGATTATACAGTTGCTTCCAGTGCCTATTGCAGGTAATCGGTCCCTATGGTCTGGTCTTGGAAGCCTTCTTTTTCTTTAAATTTTGGATTTTTTTTTTTTTTTAAGATTTATTTATTTATTTGAGAGAGAGAGAATGAGAGAGAGCACATAAGAGGGGGGAGGGTCAGAGGGAGAAGCAGACTCCCCGCCGAGCAGGGAGCCCGATGCGGGACTCGATCCCGGGACTCCAGGATCATGACCTGACCCGAAGGCAGTCACTCAACCAACTGAGCCACCCAGGCGCCCGTAAATTTTGGATTTTAATATTTGAGGTAATATTACTCTCTTTTAAGATAAAACAGTTGTATATTTAAAGCTGTCTTCTGAGAATGGAAAAGTAAGTAGTTCAGGTGAATTTTAGAAGAGTCTTTTATTTCATGCTTTCCTGATTGTTTAGGCTTAACCTCTTACTGCAATCAGAACCTTTGCCAAATTTATTTATTTATTTGTTTGTTTGTTTACTTTTTTTTTTAAAGATTTTATTTATTTATTTGACAGACACAATGAGAGAGGGATCACAAGCAGGGGGAGTGGGAGAGGGAGAGGGAGAAGCGGGCTTCCCGCAGAGCAGGGAACCCGATGCGGGGCTCGATCCCAGGACCCTGAGATCATGACCTGAGCCAAAGGCAGACGCTTAACGACTGAGCCACCCAGGCGCCCCTATTTATTTACTTTTTAAAAGATTTTATTTATTTGAGAGAGAGAACGCGTGCATGAGAGCACAAACAAGGGGGGAGGGGCATAGGGAGAAGCAGACTCCCCGCTGAGCAGGGAGCCTTGTGTGGGGCTTGATCCCAGGACCCTGAGATCAGGACCTGAGCCACACAGGTGCTCCCCTTTGCCAAATTTATTAAGTCCTCAGTTGATGCTCAGGGTCCTGCCATCCAGATACCGCCTAAATTTGATTAGTCTTTTCTTTATCAAAGCTTTTCATTATTGATTTAAACATGATTTCCTTTTTGGAAGCCTGTTTTCCACCATGGTTTAAAAATCTAAACTCATTGGACCATTTACCTTCTAGATCCTTAGTTTTAAAACTTGTGATTCTCATTAACTTGGACAGTTAATAAAATAGTTACCTTGTTTAAAAAAAATAAAAGATTTGTTAGGACCAGAACACTGTATAGTGCCTGTCCTTAGGGAACATAGAATATGAGGTCGAAGTTTGTATGTGCTTCTTGCATCCTCAAACAGAACTTCTGTTTGGCAGTTGGAGTTAGTCACAAAGTACATACCATAGCCATGCTTTCTGTTAAGGAATTTATAGAAATGCTTAGTGAAATAGTTTAAATCGCTCTTTCTGGATTGTTCCATACATTTTTGGTTTTGCCAAATGATTTATTTTATACTGCCAAATTGTGTCAGGTGCTGTTGGAACCCCCTTCTCTTTAAAATTTGTTAGCAGGAGTTAACATTTATCCTAGTCATTTCTTGACCTTCAGGCCATCATAACAATTTGACATGGCTTGGGAGAGCAGGCTTTGAACAGGTGGCCCCCAGAACATTTTCTACAGCCTCTAATTACTCTGGGCTTATTCTAGATATCATAGGCGCTTTCCTAGGACCTCTCTAGAGATTTAAAAATGTTAATGATGGAATTGTTGAGCTGGTATGTAACACTGAGCTCATGGTTCAAAAGAGTAAACTGTGAACCATTAGATTGTATGGCCAGGGGTAAGGACACAGAAATCCTCGGAATTAGGGAAATTATAGTAGTTGGGATCAGTTATCCGGGGTCCAGACTTCAAGGCACCCCCACAGATAAATAGCACTTCCTTCTGGCCCCACCACCTTCTTAGGTGGCCTTTAATAAGAAGCTCACCCCCTGCTTGCAGGGTGACCTCGCTGCCCAGTGAAGAGGGTACATACATATTGTGCTCTGTGAGTGGTCTCTGCAGAAGCTGTGCCCTGTGTAGCCTCAGGGACCATTTGTAACAACGCTACTTGTCCCTACTCTACTTCTCTACTGAAGCCTGCTCAGAGATTCGGATGTACAGAGCAGCATCAAGTAGAGAAATAGGAATACCAGGGGTATAAAATCATGATGCAAATGGAATACCTGATACTTTTCTGGCCACTAACGTTAAACATCCAAGGAGAAGAATAACATTTGGCAAGAGCATCTATAATAGCCAAGGAAATTGGGACATGTCAGGGGTTAGGATTCTTCATCCCGGAAGGGTAAGGTGTGAGGGCAGGATTGTAGTCACTGAAATCTTCATGATCAGAATATCTTATGTTTATATGGTCTATGAAATAATCCCTGGCTCCTTCAGGGATTCGGACTTCACAGCGAAGGTAGTATATGGGCAGGTGGGGATTGTGTGAAAAGTTATTTGTCCTAATTCTGTCAGTTTGGAATACCATGAACTTTTCATTTCTCCCCTTGCCTTTTTTTTCTTAATTGATTTTTATTTAATATTAGCTTCACTGTTTTAGAAAGGTGACATGAAATTAAAGGACCTTTTCACGTTCTGACTTTGTAATCTATGTTTTGGTTTTATATGCATTCGTTCCTTCTAGTTTGGATCCTCAAAAAGCTTGTTATTCACTTTGGAGTGGTGGACTTCCTGGAGAAACGCTGCCTCGTGTGGTGGCAGGCCGTGGAGCACTTCCTCAGGGAGCGGCAGGAGGCTCTCGCCCCGTGGCCAGTTGTTGGGCTTGGAAAATTCTTGTTAAAAGTTGATAGCAAGGTATTGTATTTTAAGACTTGGGCTGTTTTAATGGAGTTTATGTATGCATATATTCCATGTCATGGTATTTGGTATTCATACTATGATTGTCGATAACACGTTTCATGTCTACATCTGTGATGAAATTTAAAGTTTAGAATTATGGCTTCTGTAAGGGTAGGATAGATTTAGTTTGAGTCAGTATTGTGTAAGTAGTTTTCCCTCTTAAAAATGGGAGAAAAGGATGTTATGGAGCACCTGTTCAACTCCCTCATTTTATAAGGACCAAATTGAAATCTAGAGGGGCTATGTGACTTGCCTAAAATTATATTGCCAGGTAATGCTGCCTCAGTGCAGTATTTCTGGAGTAATTCCCACATGTCAGATAATGGGCTAAGTCCTCAGGAAAATCCACTGACTCACAGAAAACTAGATGCAGAAGCTCTGTTCAGTGGAGAGACAGCAGTCCATTAAAATTTAGATGCAGTGGTTAGGAGCATGAACCCTGATCCCAGTTCTGCTGTTTACTAGCTATGTGAACTTGGATGAATTTCTTAACCTTTCTATGCCTTGTTTTCCTTACCAATACAATAAATATAATAGCATGCGTCTTGGAGAACGGCTGTGGGGGTTAAATGAGTTAATAGACGTACAGTTCCTAGATCGGAGCCTGATTCATAATAAGCTCTGTGTGTTAGCTGTGGTTTTAATTTGTGGAGGAAAGTATGTACAGAGTACAGTGTTAGTACTGAGCAAGAAAGGACTCACTATTGGCGAGGCAGTGGGAGAGGGGAGGTTTTGCAGAAGAGGTGGTGCCACAGCAAATTTTGAAGCACAAGTAGGAGTTTCTTAGGTGACAGGGCAGGAGGAACAGGTGGACGGAGCAGGGCAGAGGTAGATAGAGACTGCCGCAGCCTGACTTCTTAGGGAGCACCAAGGAAACAGGCATGGTGGGATATATGCAGAAGCGAGGCTGGAGAGTCAGGCGAGACCCAGTTGGGATCTTTGTCGGTGCTGTGCTGTGTGAGCTGGGCTTCCTCACAGAGCCTAGTAACTGTTTCCCTGAGCAGGTCTGTCCATGACTTCAGGTTAGGTGAAGTCACTAATACTGTTAGATGAAACCAGCATAGATAGAGATGAGAAGAATAACTGGAGTTCACGTGAGGTGGAAGGAAAGAAATCTTCTAAAGCCATGGTAACATCTGGGCAACAGAGATGCAGGGGGATATGTTTTTCTGTTTTTGTTTTTGTTTTTTTTTTAAGATTTTATTTATTTATTTGAGAGAGAGTGAGTGAGAGGGAGAGGTAGAGAGAATTTGAAGCAGACTCCGCACTGAGCACAGAGCCCAACGTGGGTTTCGATCCTGCAACCGCGAGATCATGATCTGAGCTGAAACCAGGAGTCAGTCTTTCTGTCTTCCAGAAAGCTTGCCAGTTTTAAGTACCATCAATGTAACATAAGGCAGTGCCCATTTCCTGAGCTCTTGCTAATACTAGATGTTATAGTGTAACAAAATGTCCTTTTCAGTTTAATAAAAAGAAGTATCTCAGTGTGGTTTTAATTTGAAATTTTAAAAAATAGAGTTTGCTTATTGGCTATTTATATTTTTATTTTGTGATTTGCCTATTTGTATTCTTACTTTTTTCAACTTTTTAAATAAGAAGTCTAAGACTTCCCACAAATTTTAACGTATTTATCACATCTTCCTGGTATAGGGTGCAGCTTTGTCTTACTAGAGCAGATTTAGTCCTTCAGACTGTTTAAAGGGGGCGAGTCTTATTTCAGTTAACTTCTGACAGCCTTACCACTATCAGAAGGGATGGACACTAAATCTTGTTTTCAGAATCCCACGGACTTGTATTTGGAACCCTTCACTTAGGACAACTCTATAGTTGTGTCAGTTGAAGTTCCGGGTGTATCAAAAGTATTTGTGATGGAGTAGCCTTGTCCAAATTTGTCATTTTTTTATTCAAATTTGTATGCCAATTTGTTCTTCTTAAGGGAGATAGTAAAATGAATAAAACTAGCATTTTGGGCTATAATAATAAAACATATCAGAATAAATGTCTATTGCAAACTGAGTGTCTAGTGATAATTGATGCCATAATTATATTTTATCTAATATAATATATATGGGCTGCTGCTTTGGGGAATAAATCTGTTTTTCATGTTTCTGTTAAATTTCGATTGATTAGACTACTGTTTTTGAAAATATTCCTCTACAGGAGATTGTTTGAAGTATAGTTTTAAACGTGCATTGAGTGTACTTTTAGTAAAAAACTCGCAAAGAGCATTTAACAGTACTCTGATAAAATTTTGCTTTTTAGCTTTTATACTTTTTATATCACTAATAATGCCTTAAGTCCTATGTTTAACAAGTTTTACATCATGTGTCCACTACCTAGCATTAGTTATTATAGTGCTAAATATTGTGAGGTGTTTAGATGAGGTAATCTTAGTGTGAAAGAAAGGATGTTACATAAAGTAGAAGGATGTGTGCCAGAAAAATTGAGATGGAAGGAAATACACCAAATATTAACAATCTTGGATGTGTCTGCTCTTTGGCCAGGTGTTCATTGTTCCAAATGAGCTCTGATGTGTTTTACTGTTTAAAAAAATGTGAAATAACCAATACTATAAAGCTTCAACCACAAAGTTCAGTGAACACATAGTATATGAACATTAATTAAAAATCCTTTTGGTACATGATATGTGAAAGAATCTTAGTTATTATTCTGATCTTTGGAATTTGGTGTGACTGTTTAAGCTGATAAGTATTCAGGCTATTTTTTGTATTTTTAATTGTTGAATTGCCCACAAAGCTTGTGGTTATTTCAGTCATTGTATATCTTAAACGAATACTATATTCACTTGATTTTAAAACTTTGTTAATGCATTACAATTATTTTTCTAGTTTTTGTTTTGTTTTTTTGGTCTGGGATTATTTCCTCCTCATACTCTCAGTGACTTTCTTTTCTTTTCATACTATTATTGCATTCTCTAATGATATTCCACTGTTCTTATCTTCTCTTTCTTACCTTACCCCCTATCCTCAAGCTCTGGCACTGGCTAAATAAGAAGGTAAATGAACACATGGATGTTGGTTTTTACTATTGAATTCTGTAACTTCCCCCTGTATCTCCATTCTCATTCTGTTTCTGTCCATATGTCAAAATTAGTTTTTGCTTTTAAAGTTCAAATTAATAAGCTATGGAAGGTCGTGAAATGTTGATACTATCACAGTACAATGTGCTAAACACCCAAAGCTATATATTTAGGATATATGGTTACTATCTCCTTGCCCAGGTGTGTGTAAGAAGTTCTGTCTTAGAGTCCTTCTGTCCACAGTGAGTGAGTGACGTTCCTTTTCAGCTCTAATGTAGCCCTACTTTAGTCTTCTTTGATGTGTGAGAGCACATTAGGCAATAGTTACCGAAAAGGAAAGAGAACTTTTTTTTTTTAAAGATTTTATTTATTTATTTGAGAGAAAGAGAGCATGAGCGGTGGGGAGAGGCAGAGAGAGAGGGAGAAGCAGGCTCCCTTTTGAGCAGGAAACCAGATGCCGGGCTGGATCCCAGGACCCCGGGATCAAGACCTGAGCCAAAGGCAGATGCTTAACCGACTGAGCCACCCAGGCGCCCCAGAAAGAGAACTTTTTATTGCTACTTATTTTATAAATGACGCAGGAATTTTTTAAAAAGATAAATTTGTGAAATACTCGATTTACTTGGCTGATAATTTTATATAGTATTTTTTTTTTTTAATAGCAACTATTCTAGAATTTCATTTTTAACTTAAAAAAGATGGTGGTCATGGCCTGTGACCTCGTATTTCTCAAGGTATGAGGTTGTATGTATGGTGAATGCTTCACATGATTTGCATGAAATAGGTACATTTTTAATAACTTCGATAAAGGATAATCCAGATAAATTAGGAGTGCTGTACTTGTGACATGTAGCCCACATATAGTAGTTCTAGACTTAAATTCAGCAAATCCCTGAGACAGATAGCAAGAGATGACATCTATGTGTATTGTGTTTAGGCACAACAAAACTCTAAAATTGTCAGTGGAGATATTATAGCAGACCTTAAGAAGAATGTGGTACTTCTTAGAAATAGACCAAGGTGACACATTTGGGTTAGAGTTTAGGGTTTTCTTCTTTCTTTTGAAGAAGAAGAAAGAGGGGACTTGACAGTGCCTTAAACTTCTGAACTTTGGATTGAAAATAAACAGTGTGTAAAATACATACATACATACATACATACATACATACACTTACCGGGCACTCCCTCGCTCCCACCAACGTACATGCTGTTGTCTGTACCTCCATTCCCTGCAAAACTAATATGAGTAAATGAGTTCAATCCTTGGCAAATGATAGTGCTGCAAACAAAAGTCACATTTTCTTATTTTGATCAGAAGAGGTGGTTTTATATACTGCTCCAGCTTGTGTATATTGAAATGAAATTGTCCTCAAGGGATGAGAGAAAGGAGAGCTAAAGTCATTAGGTGCAATTTGATTTAACCTTAGGTGACTACATGAGTTAGATCACCTAATTTAGGAGCCTAATTCATAGCTAACCAGTTGTGACTCAGTTTTAAAAGATTCCTAAGAGATCAAGTGACGGTTTCCTTTCTTTGATGATTCCGTATAGCACAGGTAAAGCATTGGTGGAGAGCAGGAGTGCTGCTGTAAGTTCTGGGACTGTGTGTTCTAGGAAAGCACATAAATAAGTTGAGGTCTGTTTTATTACATTACATCCAAGGTCAGAAAATTTACAGTATTGGGTATTTGGTTTTTCAGGTTCAAGTGGAGTGAACTAGGAAACTAATTCAAGGGAAGGGAGGGTGAGAGAGAACATACCTGTGGTTAATTGAGACATAACCTATTTCTCAAGGCTTGTTTTATTTTTTAGTGTTGGTTATGTGCACTAAGACTCAACTAGAATTTGGTTCAAAAAACAAAGCAAAATGAAAGGCCCAGAATAATGAAATAGAAAATTCAGTAGTGGAACGATCACTTACTTTTTTTTTTAAATTTTTTTATTCTTATGTTAATCCCCATACATTACATCATTAGTTTTAGATGTAGTGTTCCATGATTCATTGTTTGTGCATAACACCCAGTGCTCCATGCAGAACGTGCCCTCCTCAATACCCATCACCAGGCTAACCCATGCTCCCACCCCCCTCCCCTCTAGAACCCTCAGTTTGTTTCTCAGAGTCCATCGTCTCTCATGGTTCGTCTACCCCTCCGATTTCCCCCCCTTCATTCTTCCCCTCCTGCTATCTTCTTCTTCTTTTTTTTTCTTAACATATATTGCATTATTTGTTTCAGAGGTACAGATCTGAGATTCAACAGTCTTGCACAATTCACAGCGCTTACTAGAGCACATACCCTCCCCAGTGTCTATCACCCAGTCACCCCATCCCTTCCACCCCACCCCCCACTCCAGCAACCCTCAGTTTGTTTCCTGCGATTAAGAATTCCTCATATATCATCTAAAACTAATGATGTAATGTATGGGGATTAACATAAGAATAAAAAAAAAAGAAGAATTCCTCATATCAGTGAGGTCATATGATGCATGTCTTTCTCTGTTTGACTTATTTCGCTCAACATAATACCCTCCAGCCTGTTTAGAAGTTTCAAAGTCTTGCAGTATAACCATACATTTACTGACCTATCTAAATTTTAAAAAATGCATGCCCTTCATTCACACTGGAAACATTTCAGAATGTCATTTTAAAATTACTCCCCTTCCCCTTTAAGAAAATAAAGTTTAATAACTAAGATAATTTCTCAGAGCGTAGAAGGCTGGGGAGATCACCAGGGACAGTGTGATTTCTACAGGGAGGCAGGCATTAATGACAGCTGATGGCAGTGATGACAGGTGGTGTGGATCCTGCTGCCCAAAGCTGAGTACAGCACAGGGTCTGTCTCCTTGGACAGTGCCTCTGGCATTTCTTTAGGAATTCTGTCCTCCATTCCCTTCTGCTTCTCCATTGCTTCTTTTGTCCATGTTTCTCTTCTTTTTTTTTTTTAAGATTTCATGCATTTATTTGAGAGAGAGTGAGTGAGAGAGAGAGAGAGCACATGCAGGGGCAGAGGAAGAAACGCACTCCCCTGCTGAGCAGAGAGCCCAAAGCAGAGCTTGATCCCAGCACCCCGGGATTGTGGCCTGAGCTGAAGGCAGATGCTTAACTGACTGAGCCAGCCAGGCACCCCTGTGTTTCTCTTTCGATGTCCGAGTTTCTGTTTCCTTGAGAGTCTTCTTCCATTCACTCTTTCTTGGGGTTCTTATCCTCCATTTAAGTTTTCTGTCCACTTCGTTATTTCCTCTTTATTGATTGGTCCTTGGTTCTATGCACCAGTTGCCCCCAGCCACACATTTTTTCCTCCTGTTTTGACCTTTAAAAAAAAAAAAATCTCCCTTTATTCTTTAATAAGTCTTTCCTGGTCTCTCTTTCCCACTCTTTCTCTCTCTGTCTCCCTTTTTGTCCTGTTTTTTCACTGTACCTTAGCCATCTATAATGTGACTAGATTCCCCTCCCATCTTTTTTAGTTTATATGTTGAGCATCTTAAGTGGTTTTATTTATTTTAAATTTTGAATGAAACCTCTAACCCTCACTGTTAGCCCTGAATATAAATTTTTATTTAGGTGACTCTTAGTGTGGATTTTTTCCAGTCCCTAGGTATATGGCTTCTGGTAGGAAAATTCTACCGTGGTTTAAAAACATAAAGCTTGATTTTGTAATGTTGATATTTATAATGTGTTTGTGAATTCCATGTTTTATATGTTAGAAATACCTGGTCTTAAATTTAGTTGTACTTTCTAAATCATCATTTACATTTAAAAAACATATTTCAGAATACACATTTTTCAAAAAATTGGGGCTCCCAAGTTATTTTTAGAAATTGTAATTTGTGAATACAGATCTGGTCTTAATTCTGAAATTATTTATGTTTGCCTGTTCAGATATATATTTGAGCTTTCACCATGTGCCGTGCACTGTCAGGCTTGGGAACTACAAAGAAGAATAATACAACCCTAGCTCTTTCCTCAGGAAACTGTCTCAAGAACTCTGTGTAGAGCTGGTTTCTAATTGTGAAACTTTTCAGTTTCATTGATTTAGAATGTACGTTCAAAAGATGACATCTGACCTTCCATATCTTAAAAACTTGATACTACTTTTTTTAATCTCTGCATTGTCTTTGATGCTTTGGTAGCATGCACTGAAAATTAACTCTTCTGTTTGAAGCTGTAATTGTCAAGATAAAAGATGAACTTTTTATCTTTGAGCTCACTGCATTGATCTTTTAGTGATAGTATCTTTCATGAAAGATAAAGGGATGCAAGCTTTTAGCATGGAATGGAAAATGTTTTAGAAGTCATGTTTTATTTTTAACCACCATTTGCTCTTGTTTGTTTAACTCACTGGAGAGCATAATTCAGATTTAAATTAAGGCTAACTTATTCAGCAATGCTGTAGCTTATGTAGGGGTTGAAGGGTGCAATGTGGTATTTCAGCAGTCATCTAATTGATTTTATTTTTGAAATGTTAAATGTAGCTTTGCATGGCAGAAATTCTAGAAATCTGTCAGAATTATATATTCTGAAAACAAACATTTTTTTAAATGTAGGATTATTTGTGATTGTGAAAGATTGTGAAAATGGAATGTCAAGTAGCATTTAGGAAGAGCATAATTTTAATTATTGATTAAGGAATAACCATTACAATAATGATTATTCTTTATTTACAGTCAATTTGTCCTAAAGCTTATGTTTTCAAAAGAATGGAAATTTCAAGTGGAATATCAGATTTTAAAAAGTATTTTGTTAAGAAATATTTCAAATATAAAAAGATGTAAAGAACATCAGTAAGTCTATCCTCCAGCTTGATAAAACATTACCTATGTAATTAAAGCCCATTTTGTACCCCTCCTAATTGTGCATCTACCTGCTGACCCCCCCCCCCCGGGTAGTATTCTGAAATTGATATTTATCATTACCTTAACATTAGATTTTTATTATTACTGTTTTTGTAACCCTAGTGGCATCAAAGGGAAAAAATATTTTGAATGTAATTCCTATTTTAATTTGCTCCTAATTTATCTGTATAATTTAGAGCATACCTGTTTTGTAAGAGGCATATTTTTTGTAAAGCTATCTATATTTGCTAATTGGACAGTAAAATTTCATGAGATTTGAGGTCAGCTAATGTATTATCATTATTTCATTTAAATATTTTATGTTGTTTAGAATATTTGCCAATTACAAATTACAATTTGAAATATAAATATAGCACTGTATGAGAATTCAAACGTAAATATGGATTATGTTCAAATTGCCTTTTCTTAGATAGGACAATAATAAACTCTTTTAATTTATTTTTTTATTATTATGTTATGTTAATCACCATACATTACATCATTAGTTAATAAACTCTTTTTATATAACAACAGTAATTAATGCTATTAGTTAATTTTCTCAAGTTGCTTACAGCTTTAATCATTATGCCATAGTTTGATTTGCAATGCTGACTATCCTATTTTGTCTTAATAATATTTGAATATGTATGCATTTTTATTAAGTTGTGCTTGAAAGATAAGTAATTCTCTTTTTTGTTTCTGTGCAGATGATCATCTGGTTGGAGAAGATGTTAGACAAAATAATAAGCATTTTCATCATATTTTTGTTAGTAATAGGAACCCTTCTTTTAGCTCTACTCCTGACTGCAAAGGTAGAGTATGATAATTACTGTTGCCACTGATAAATTCTTGTTGGAATTGTAGTATTCAGGGGCGCCTGGGTGGCTCAGTTGGTTAAGAATCTGACTCTTGGTATAAGCTCAGGTCTTGATCTCAGGGTTGTGAGTTCAAACCCCTAGTTGGGCTCTGTACTGGGCGTGGAGCCTACTTAAAAAAGAATTGTGGTATGCACAAGAAGCTGGCAGAAGCTGGCATTGAAAGCTTACTTTGCTTATAAATATATAACAATGAAATTATTTAGATTTTTGCATTATTTGTTTTTATTTTTTTTTAAAGATTTTATTTATTTGAGGGAGAGAGAAAGAGAGAGAGAGAGAGCACATGAGAGGGGGAGGGTCAGAGGGAGAAGCAGACTCCCCACTGAGCCAGGAGCCCGATGTGGGACTCGATCCCGGGACTCCAGGATCATGACCTGAGCAGAAGACAGTCGCTTAACCAACTGAGCCACCCAGGTGCCCTGCATTATTAGTTTTGCCATGAATTTGCCTACTTTTAATTTTCTTATGTGCATTTTAATTTTGTTATCAAAATCCTCAGAAATGAGCACAAATTAAAAAAAATTGAGATAGTGAAGAATAAATGGCTTCTTTTTTTAATGGGAGAACTGTGATCTGGTCTCATGAGTCCTAATCTAGTTAGTTCCTTATTTACTAGATCAGAATTTCTTTTTTTTTTTTTAAAGATTTTATTTATTTATTTGAGAGAGCGAGAATGAGAGAGAGTACATGAGAGGGGGGAGGGTCAGAGGGAGAAGCAGGCTCCTCGCTGAGCAGGGAGCCCGATGCGGGACTCGATCCCGGGACTCCAGGATCATGACCTGAGCCGAAGGCAGTCGCTTAACCAACTGAGCCACCCAGGCGCCCTAGATCAGAATTTCTTGATTAGCTCCTTCCCTTCTTGTCCCATTGGTATTTCTGCTAATTTACCATAGAATCTTTATGTCTTACTGTCTAGGTCCTTCCAGCTTACACTTCCAATTCTTTCTCTTCTTAGTTTGGACTGCTGTAACAGAATACCGTAGACTGGGTGGCTTAAACAACAAACATTTATTTGTCACAGTTGTGGAGTTGGGGAGTCTCAGATCAAGGTGCCACCATGGTCAAGTTCTTGGTAAAAGGCACTCTGTCCGGTTTAGAAATGACCATTTTCTCCTTGTACCCTCACATGGTGGAGAGAAAGATCACCTCTCTTGTGTCTTATAATGACACCAATCCCATAATGAGGGCTCCATCCTTGTGAACTAATTACTTCCCAAAGGCCCTGTCTCTTAACCATCATATTGGAGGTTAGAATTTGAACCTAAGAATTTTGGGAGGATACAAACATTCAGGTTTTAACACCCTTCATTATTAAAAAAAAAAATTCTCTAAAGTACAGCTAAAATTTTCTCGATAGTGATGTATCTTACTGACTTTTAAAATAAATTTTTATTATGTATCTTAATCTTTATCTGAAGTCCACTGAACTTCTCATCCTAGATTTTGATATGTTACTTTCCAGGAATTGTGAAGTTTATGTGAAATTATGGATATGAAAAATTTTCATATAGTGCTGTAGAGATATGTTATCAATAGATAATCTAATATGCAGAATTTACTAAAGGATTGCATTGTTTCCTGCTATGTGAATCTCCACTTGGAAGTCCTCTTCTCAGTTATTTTCAGCCTCAGTATGTCCTCAGTCTCAGCTTCTAACAACTTGCTCTCTCCATATCTCTGTTTCAGTTTCTATGTAGTTCTTATCTGTTCTTTGGATATTGATCATGTATAGTCACTTACATAAACTGTATAGACTTGTTCGGAGACCTTTTTTTGTTTTTGTTATATTTTGCCTAAGCCTGCCATTATACATTCTTACCTTCTATTCTAGTTCTTAGAGAAACCTTATATCAGTATGATCTTCCACTTTTTTTTTTTCTTTTTCCTTTCTCCTGCTCTTCTATTCCACTTTCCTTTCTTTGTTTCTTTGCATAGGGTCTTCTTGACTGCTCATGTCAATTCTATTCATTTTTCACATCCTTTTTCTTTGTTCAACCCATGCTTCAGCAAGCTTTTGCTTTCCTGAACTTTGATAACATGTATTACTGAACCACTTTTTTGTGGTCTAGGACTTATGCAAACTGAGCTTTTGAAGGAAACTTATTGGTTATCTAGTTTATTCAATAATGGGATTGTCTAAAATATCCACTTGAATGTCTAATAGCCTTCTGAAATATAACATGTCAAAAACTGAATTTCAGCTCTTTCCTTGCTTGTCTGTTCTCCTGATAGTCTATTTTGGTGTAAATGACCACTCCGTTCTACTTGCTTAGGTGAAAAACCTTAGGGTCATCCTTGACTACATTTTTTCCTTTTGTATCCACATCCAGTTTGTCAGAATTCTTTTTGGCTTCATCTTTGGGTAGTAACAGGGCAATGATGTCAGATAATTCCTTCCCACAGAAAGGAAGAGCAAAACAGTATAAAATTATTAAAAACACTGGGACGCCTGGGTGGCTCAGTCGGTTAAGTGTCTGACAACTCAGGTCATGATCCCACGGTTCTGGGATCGAGCCCTGTGTCGGGCTCCCTGCTGAGCAGGGAGTCTGCTTCTCCCTCTCCCTGTGCCCCTCCCCCTGCTCGTGCTCTCTCTCTCAAATAAATAAAATCTTAAAAAAAAAAAATTATTAAAAACACCATGTCAGGGTGTTGGAAAACCATCAGTTAGGCAACAATTTGAGGAATATTTCCTCATGAAAAACTGTTACTGCAGCTGGTAAAACAGGTAGTTTGTGGCTTTCTTGCTTGGACTTTTTCTCATCCTGCTTGGCTTGGGCAACAGAAACCTGCAGCTTTTCCTGTGGGAGGTGGTAGACTTGGTTTGGGGCTGGTAACAGAGCAGCTATAAATTAAAGGGGGAGGTTCTGGAAGCAAGAGAACCATGAAGGGCTTAATAATAAGAAGATTAATAAGCCATACATCCTAAACTGGTATATGGGAGACCTCAAGGAGCTCTGTGCACTTTGAAAGCCTGGGGAGATTTGCAAGTTGGTTGTGCCTTTGATTGCATTTCTCAACTCACACATCTCAGGCTGCAGAGAATGAAGATTTGTATTGTGAAGTATCTGGGCATGATTTCTGCCAGAATCATTTGCTGTCTGCTAAGCTATGCAGGCTCAGGGGAAGGCTTTAGGCTTTAAAAAATAATAATAAAAAACACCGAGCAGAAACATCAGTGACAGGGAAGGCAGATTTTGCAGCTTAACTACAGAGAAGTTAATTGCTTGCTGAAACAAATAACAGGTCTCAGAAGAATAAAACAAAATCCAGAGTTGCTACAACACATTTTTTAAACAATTTTTTAACCAGAAATTACCAGACATAAAAGAAACAGAAAAGTGTGACTTGGAGGGGGCAAAAAAAACAGTCAAAAAAGTGGATACTTAAGTAGTGCAGATGTTGGATTTAGCAGCTATTATAAATATGTTCAAAAATTAAAGGGAAGTATGCTAATAATGTGTAAACAAATGCAGATGCTCAACAGAGAAATGGAGATTATAAAACAGAACCAAGTAGAAATCCTAGAGTTGAAAAGAGCAATAACAAATGAAAAATTTACTGGATAGGCTCAACAGCAGATTTGAGATCCAGAAAAAAAAAAAAAGAATGAATTTGAAGAAAGATTAATAGAAGGTATCCAATCTGAAGAACAAAATATTTTTAAAATAGTGGATGAGGAGAGACTCAAAGATTTGTAGGACAATAGCAAAGACTAACAGACGTGTAATTGGCATCCCAGAAAGTGAAAGGAGAAGGAGAAGAGTGGAAAAAATACTTGAAGAAATAATGGTCAGAAACTTCCCAAGTTTGATGAAAAACATTAAAATAGCCAAGAAGCTCAACAAATGCTGAGTGGAATAAATACATACAAAACAAAACCATACCTAGACACACATCGTAGTCCAACTACTGGAAGCCAAAGAGAGAAAAAAAATCTTGAAGGAAGCAAGAGAAAAATTACACATCACACACAGGAAAACAACAAAACAAATAATGACTGACTTCTCATAATAAACAGTGAGTACCTCAGGACATTGGAATGACATATTCAGTCTTGGGAAAAAACAACTAGTCAACCAAGAATTTTATATTCACAGACACTATTCTTTTTTTTTTTTTAAAGATTTTATTTATTTATTAGAGCAACATGCACATGACCCAGGACCCTGGGATCATGACCTGAGCTGAAGTCAGACACTAACTGACTGAGCCACCCAGGGGCCCCTCTGAAACTATTCTTTAAAAGCAAAGGCAAAATAAAAGTATTTCTAGATAACCAAAACTGAGAATTTGTTAATAGCAGACCCGCACTGTAAGGAATGCTAAAGGAATTCCTTCTGATTGAAGAGCAATGACTCTAGAAATAACTTGTATCCAAAGGGAAGAATGAAGAGCACTTGGTAAATATGTGGGTATATATAAAAATTATATCCCCCCCCTTTTCAGTTTATTTAAACAACAGGACTATTTAAAGGAAAGTAAAAGAGTAAAACACTGTATTGTAGAGTTTATAATACACATAGATGAACTATATATGTATAACCACAGCACAAAAAGAAGACCGGGAAACAGAATTATACTGGTATGAAGTTCTTATATTTTATTGGAAGTAAGTCAATATTAACTTGAGGTGATCTGTGATAAAGATGTGGTAAACTTAAGATAAATAGCAACCACTAACAAATTTTAGAGGAACTAAAATGGTATACTAAAAATATAGTTGCTTAACACAGAAGGCAGTAAAAGAATAAGAATAGGGATGAGACAGAAAGCAAATAGCAAAATGGCAGACCTAAATCCAGTCATATCAATGGATGTATTAAATGTGAAGCAATTAAATAATCAAATGGCAGAGATTTTCAGACTGGATATAAAACAGCAAGTTCTAGCTAAATGGTATCTATAAGTGTTTTACCCTTGAAATTCAAAGCCATGAAGGGGCGCCTGGGTGGCTCAGTCGGTTAAGTGGCTGCCTTCGGCTTAGGTCATGATCCCGGGGTCCTGGGATTGAGCTCCACATTGGGCTCTCTGCTCAGCGAAAAGCCTGCTTCTCCCTCTCCCTCTGGCTGCCGCTCTGCCTACTTGTGCTCTCTCTCTCTCTCTCTGTCAAATAAATAAAATCTTTAAAAAAAAAAATTCAAAGCCATGAAAAGATTGATAGTAAAAGGATGAAAAAAGATATACCATGCAAACTGTAAACATAAGAGTTGTAGAATGATTATATTAATATCAGACAATGTAGTTAAATATTACTAAAGACAAAAAAGAAATAAGGACTTTTCGTAATGGTGAAGTAATACTGCAGTAGGATATACCAATTTTAAATGTGTATGTTCCTAGCAATAGAGCTCTAAAATACATGAAGCAAAATATTCAGAATTAAAAGGAGAAATAGAAAAACCAGTGATTCAGTAATACTCCTCTTGCAGAAATTGAGAGAATAAGTAGATAGCAAATTAGTAAGAATATAAGTCTTGAAAAACACTATCAGTCAATGTGAAGTGACCACAACAGAATCATGTTCTTTTTATTTTTATTTTTTTATTTTTTATTTTTTAAGATTTTATTTATTTGTGAGAGAGAGAATGAGAGACAGAGAGCATGAGAGGGAGGAGGGTCAGAGGGAGAAGCAGACTCCCTGCCGAGCAGGGAGCCCGATGTGGGACTCGATCCCGGGACTCCAGGATCATGACCTGAGCCGAAGGCACTCGCTTAACCAACTGAGCCACCCCGGCGCCCCAGAATCATGTTCTTTCAGGTAAACATGGAATACCAGGATAAACCATATGCTCAATATGCCTAATTTAAAAATAGTAAAATACTTGGTAAAAAAATAAATAAAATAAAAATAAAAATAGTAAAATATAGGGGAACCTGGGTGGCTCAGTCTGTTAAGTGGCTGCCTTCCGCTCAGGTCATGATCTCGGGAAGTAAGCCCCATGTTGGGCTCCCTGCTCAATGGGGAGTCTGCTTCTCCCTCTGCCCCTCCCCCTGCTCGTTCTCTCTCTTTTTTTCTCTCTCTCTCTCTCCAATAAATCTTTTAAAAAAGTAGTAAAATATAGAGCATGTTCTCTGACACTGGCTTGTTTCTTTTTTTTTTTAAATTAATTTTGGGGGTGGGGGGAGTGGGAGGGGCAGAGGGAGAGAGAAAATCTCAAGCTGACTCCACGCTGAGTAGGGATCCTGACACAGGGCTTGATCTCACAACCCTGAGATCATGACTGGAGCCAAAATCAGGAGTCAGACGCTTAGCCAACTGAGCCACCCAGGCACCTCTGTCCTCCTCGTTTTGTTGGTTATTTAACAAAGTAAATTCTGAGGTGCAGTTTCAGCTGGCTTTGTTTTTTTTTTTTTTACTCCAAAGCTTTACTAAATTCCTTATTTGCTTGTATGTCTCACACTGCATCATAATTTTGTAAACTCATGCAGTGTTGGTTTTGCTTACATATACTATAGGCACGTGTGTGAACTGAATATATTTACTTATTTGTCTTGTGTGTATGTATAAATATTTGAATGTATCTTTTTATGTAATTTTTCCTGAAGTTGTTGAGCTTGAAGTCAGGGAGCTGTATGTACTTTTTAAATTCCATAGTGAGGGTCATAGGACATTATGTATAGCAGCTGTTCAGTACAGGGTTCTAAATTAATTGAAACTAAGATGCGTAATTATTTGACTCAAAAGCATAGTTCCAATAATAGTGGAGAAAAATAAATGTTAAATTGGGCTTATTTTTTATTGAGATTCTTTTCTATCCATGATACAGGTACATCAAGAGAGTGTACACATGATTGAAGTCACAAGCAATTTGATTAATGAGACTCTAGCAAATCACCCTGAGTGGGCAAAGTAAGGATATTATTTTGCAAAAATAGAAATGGATGCCCTAGGTTTAGTATCATTTCACGAAATGATCTTCATTGATGCAGCTACCTTGGAAGAGAAAAGATCGGAAGAGAAAAGCTTTGATAAATGTTGTCATTTTTGCATAAGAACGGCATGTTTTGGGGGATGGTGGGAGAGGGAAATACTTAAGATTTTGGGAACAGTTTATGGTCAGTGTCTTTATATTTGAAATGAGATTTACAGTTTATAATATATTTATGATTTGCAAAGCACTTTCACCTACAGTGTGTCCTGTGTTCCTCACAGTGACTGAGGAGATTGAAGAGACAATCCCCATTTCACAGATGAGGAATCAGGATCAAAGGTTAAGAAATTGAGATAATCCCCCAGTGGCAGAGTCAGCAGTGTTTCCACATTGTATCTTTTTTTTTTTTTTTTTAAGATTTATTTATTATAGAGATAGAGCAGAGTGGGAGGAGGGGTAGAGAGAGAAGGGTAGGGAGTGAATCCCAAGCAGACCTGCAGCTGAGCGTGGAACCTGATGCAGGGCTCGATCTCACTACCCTGAGATCATGACCTGAGCCGAAAGCAAGTCAAGATGCTTAACCAACTGAGCCACCCAAGCACCCTCACATTGTATCATTTTGGAGGCAAGGTTGGCAATCTGTGGCTCAGGGTGACTTCCAACCACCTCTTTCTGTAAAGTTTTGTTGTTGTTTTTAAAGATTTTACTTATTTATTTGACAGAAAGAGAAAGAGAGCACAAGCAGGGGGAGTGGCAGGCAGAAGGCGGAGCAGGCTCCCTGCTAAACAAGGAGCCCGATGCGGGACTCTATCCTAGGACCCCGGGATCGTGACCTGAGCCGAAGGCAGATGCTTAACCGACTGAGCCACCTAGGCATCTCTGTAAAGTTTTATTAGAACAAACCACACCCATTCATTTACATACTGTCTATGGCTGTCTTGGGGCTGCAAGAACAGGTAGAATTGAGTAGTTGTGACGCAGGTTTTATGTCGCAAAAGCCTGAAATACTTACTCTCTCACTTTACAGAAGAAATTTGCCAACCCCTGTCTTAGAGGATCTTTTTTTGTACTTGTTTAATTTGGCTTCTGTGAAAGAGGTTTTTATGTTACCTTGTTGAATTTGATGACAAATTGTATGGCCTTTTTTTTTTTTTTTAACTCCAAGGTAGTCACTGATTTAAGTAGGAAATACTCAGCCAGTTTTAGGATTGTAAATTGACATTTAGCTTGGTTTTCTACTTTCAGTTGACTTTATTTCTTTATGTAAAACCTGCTTGGACATTTCTTGAACTTGGTTTAGAATCATATTTGAATATTCTTAAAAGGATGTCTTTCAGAATATATTTCTCTGTACTTATCTCCTGTTACCCAGAGCATACTCAAGTGCTTGTCCTTAATATTTCTGATTAGTTACAAATTGTAGTATATCCGTACAAAGGAGTAATACTTAGCATTAAATAAAAATTAACTATATATGCAGCAGCATGGATGAATCTCAAAATAATTATGCTGAGTGAAAGAAGTCAGGCAAAAAAAAAAAAAACAAAACCAGTCCATACAATATGATTCCATTTATGCAAAGTTCTAGGAAATGCAAATTAATCTATAGTGACAGAAAGATCAGTGGTTGTCTGTGGATAGTGGGCTCTGGGAAGGGACTACACAGGGGCACAAGGAAACTTTTGAGAGTGATAGATATGTTCATTATCTTGATTAAGGATGGAAGAAAAGAACTGGCATAAACATTTCATTCTAGAACAGTTTTTCCCTCTGTACTGTGGAGAAAAGATGGACCAGGGTATAAGATTTGAGCCTTTTAGATCAGTTAAAAGCCAGAGTAAACCAGGTAAGAGATGATGAAGCCCTTAATTGTGGATAGTTATAGTGGCAATGAACAGGATGGACAGATTTGGTGATTAGTTAGATATAGTTGGAAGAAATCTAGCATTACTTGTGTTTTTGGCTTGGTAGGTTGGCGGTTGATGGTAGATTCACCAAGATGGGAAATAGAGGAGCAGATATGGTGGGGAAAAGAATTCACTTACTTTTTTACCTGTTGAGTTTGAGGTGCCTATGGTAAGTATAAGCAGAAGCATCCGGTAGGCCATTGCCTTTGTTGGTGTGTAGTGCAGGAGAGAGATCTGGAGTGAAGTTAAAAAATTGGCAGCCTTAATATCTCAGCGGCTCCTCTTCTTTGATGGTCATTCTTCTGTAGTGGAAATAAGTCCAGACGTCCAGAGCCTCTCTGTACTGGTTTTCAACTGCAATAGGACTGACTATCTCTACTACTGTATTGAAGGCACACACAGTCTGGGGAGCCCTAGATCAGAGTAGTTTAGAAAGTTGCTTGTTTTTATTTTTAAATTTTGAAATAATTCTAGATTCACAGGACATGGCAAAGAAAGGCACAGGGAGGTCCCATGGACTCTTCACCCCACCTCCTCTAATGTTGTCATTTTGCAAAACTATAATACAATAACAAAACTAGGAAATGGACAATTCACTTGTTTTACATGCACTCGTGTGTATGTGTGTGTGTGCTCACAGTTTTTATCATATGTGTAGCTTCCTGTAAGCTATCAAGACCAAGACCATCAAGATACAGAGCTGTTCCATACCACAGGAATCCTCATGCCACCCCTTTATAGCCACACCTACAGCATAATTCTGTTGAAATTCATTGAAGGTGTTGTATGTATTATTAAGTGTGTTCCCTTTTACTGCTGTGTAATATTCCATGCAGGCAGTTTTGTGTTTTGTTTTGTTTTAAGATTTATTTATTTAAGAGAGCACACACAAGCGGGGGGGAGGGGCAGAGGGAGAGAGAGAGAGAAACCCAAGTAGACTCTGTGCAGAGCAGGGAGCCGGACACGTGGCTTGATCTCACAACCCTGAGATCATGACCTGAGCCAAAATCACGAGTCGGGCACCCAACCGAGTCACCCAGGCACCCCATGCAGGAAGGTTTTTAAAAGCTGTTTAGACTTTGATGATTTGTGGAAAGTCTGATTCTTTTGCAGCAGATTAATGGGGGTGGACATGAATACTAATGGTTCTTATAGTCTCAGTACCCAAGTGGATTCCTGTCCTGAAGAAGGCAGTTGACTTTGTGGAAAATTCATGTGGGTATACCTAGTGGAGGAGATACAGTTAAGAATTGGTCAGGGGTCCCTGGGTGGCTCAGTTAGTTAAGTGGCCGACTCTTGGTTTCAGCTCAGGTCATGATCTCTAGGTCCTGACATCAAGCCTGGTGTCGGGCTCTCTGCTCACTGGGGAGTCTGCGTCTCTCCCTCTGCCCCTCCCCCCACTTGCGCGCGCGCTCTCTCTCTCAAATAAATAAATAAATCTTAAAAAATAAAAAAGGAATTGGTCATATATATTTCCAGTGTGCACATTTTATACACCCTATGTAGGTACCTTGACTCCCCATGAGTGTATTCAGTGAGCTGATGAATAATATGAAGACAGGATAGTGTCATCTTTACAGAGCTTCATAGAAAATGAAGTTGAAGTTGGAGCACATCTTAATTCTTGTCTTGGATGGTTCTGTTCACTTGGAGTCCATTTCCTGCTTTCTGTTAACTAGTCTCAAGCCTGTTGATTCTCGTGGCCCTCATTAGGAGATGACATTAAAATGGTAATGAATGTGACTTCCCTTAGTTGGAAGGAATCCAACAGGCTAAGCTAAGTTTTTTTTTTTTTTTATTCTTATGTTAATCCCCATACATTACATCATTAGTTTTAGATGAAGTGTTCCATGATTCATTGTTTGTGCATAACACCCAGTGCTCCATGCAGAATGTGCCCTCCTCAATACCCACCACCAGGCTAACCCATCCTCCCACCCCCCTCCCCTCTAGAACCCTCAGTTTGTTTTTCAGAGTCCATCGTCTCTCATGGTTCGTCTACCCCTCCGATTTCCCCTGCTTCATTGCTAAGTTGTTTTTAATTGTTCTCTTGGTAGGTCATATTGTGATACAGATTAACCTTTATCCAGGAAGATGAGGGTACATCAGTCCAATTTGTAGGAACTTGGTTTCTCCTAAGGGATCCCTCTTGACTTAGCGTAGGAGAGTTAGTGATTGGCTCTGGTTGGTAGAAGGTCAAAGCGCATCCCAGCGTGTCCCAGCCAGGGTTGCTCAGGTGGTTTTGGCCCTGTGTCTCCTAGAGGGCACTCCTTGTGAGGAGGTCTGGACAGAGCCAAGATCTTTGACTTGGCCTCACAACAGCTCCTCTCATCTGTGGCTCTTAGGATACCTGTGTGAGTATTTCGGCAAAGTGTTTTCACAGTAGCCAGCAAGAATTTATCAGGCCTAATAGATACTTGTTAGTCATTAAAGATCTATTCAAATACTAATGTGAATCCTCATACTTTAACACTAGAGGTTATAATTTTCCCCATAAAATGTCATACTACGTAATTGAAAATATTCAGCAGTTCCTTCAAAGCACTGGTGAACCTCTAAATACTAGAATAATTTAAAATCTAAATTTCTCCCAAATCCCATCTCTATTTAAAGATTTCAATTTCCTGTTCATGTCTTCATACTTAGATTATTAGATTTGTAATCATCTCTAAAGTTTTGTCTTAACTTGCTGAGAAATATTTGAAAATTTGCCAAAAGTTTCAGAAATACTTTATTTGGATGTAGGAAGAACTGATTAAAGATTGAAACCATTACCAATTTGACATTGCACTTTCTAATGTATCCAAAATGTCTTTTTCTCTGTATCATTACATTTGTCCCTGTCAGTGGCAGTTGGCTTTCTCTTTAGGACCATCTTTCTCTCTCTCTCTCACACACACACACAAGCAAGTTATCACTTCCAATTTACTATATAAAGTACTACAAGTATGTAAAACTGCTGTAGGTTGAGAACATTGCTCATTTGACTTGACTCTTTCCCATAAGCCAGCTTTGTGTTTTGTGTCATATTTAGGCCTCAGGAAAGTTCTTAGTTACTGTTTGCCTTGGCCTTTGGGCATCAATCATGGATAGTTGAAATCAGGACTATTAAATTTGTGAATGCCAACATCTGTAGTGTACAACCCTTTGAGGTACAATTTAAAGAATATATGAGGGGCTCCTGGATGGCTCAGTCAGTTAAGTGTCTGTCTTTTGCTCAGGTCATGATCTTGGGATCCTGGGATTGAGGCCTGTGTCAGGGCTCCCTGCTCAGTGGGGAGTCTGCTTCTCCTTCTCCCTCTTCCCTTCCCCCTGCTTGTGCGCTCGCTTGCTCTCGCTCTTTCTCTCAGATAAATAAATAAAATCTTAAAAAAAATAAAGAATACATGAAGGTATTTCTCCTTCAGAAAACACTGGGCATAGGTAATGTGTTATTGATTAAGGCAGATGATACAGTCTGCTTAGTTAACAGGATAGTGGGGAGGCCGTCTCTCATGGCATGAAGAGTAAAGCTTGTAGATGCAGCTCCTTGTATAGCTAGAACTCTGCTCAGGACTTCCTCACATCATAACGAAAAAGATCTCCATTGAAAACAATGATTTGCCCTCTTGTTTTCTTTCTCAGTTCTTCACTCAGTTCTTAGATCAGCATGTATCAGAATCACTTTCACGGCTCATTAGGATACTGGTTGCTGGGCCTCAGCCCCATTTCTTTTTCAGTAGGTCTGGACCTGGGCCCAAGAATTTGCATGTCTAACAGGTTTCTGAGCAGTTCTGATGCGGAATAAGGCTGGTGTTGAATAAGGCAGATGATCCGGGACATGTATGGGCAGAGACACCAGGCAGAGCAGAATGAAAGGGAGTTTGTGGGGAAAGTGGGTCTAAAAGCTAAGGAGAGCTTGCAGGGCCCCTTGAAGGGCCGATGGTAGAATTACGTGTTAGGCTTGGAAGTCAAGGATTCCTGCATGAGATTCATTTGTATCTGCTTGTGATGACTGAGCAACAATTTGTCAGTTACTGATTGTTTAAATACATGGAATTCCAAGAGTTACTGACACAGTCCACTAAAAATATACTAGCTTGTAATTTTTTCTTTCTTTTATTTTAAATTAGTTGGCTTCCTGAGGCTCAAGTAGTCCAAAGAGCCCTCAATTCTGCAGCTAACAACGTGTACCAGTATGGAAGAGAATGGATAACACACAAGGTAAGGGAAGAGCCTCTGTCTGTGGCTTTCTCTCTGCAGGGTCTTCATTGGTAGGGGCTTCCTGCTTTGATGAAGTGTAAGTAGAGATTCCATTTAGAACAGTTTCCATTTTTTAAATAGGCTTAAATATATAAGTCAACAAGAAACATACAATGAAAGTAAACTTTCTGGAGGATTTATTTAATAGTGCTAGTAGCTTGAACAGAGAGGTTTGTCTTTTGCTTCTTGTTCAAGGTAAGTATTCATTATTTGTGCATTAGGACAGAATGATCATTAAAATTGGGTGGTCAAATAAGACTTTGTGGAGGAAAAAAAAGGTTGTTAGCAAATATTAAATATTATTATCTGCTGGTGACTGTGCTTGGCAGTTTCCAGTTTGTTTCATTTAATCTTTCCAAGAAACCTATAGTAGTCTAAATTGTTTGGCCCACTTTACAGAGGAAGAAACAGGCTTAGCAAGGCTAAGTAAATTCCCAGTGGTCATGTAGTAAATTGTGGAGCTTGGTTTCAAACTGAAGACGAATTCTAAATCCCTTGTTCTTTCTGCTGTACACGCTAGAAGTGCATGCCCAGAACTGGGCTAGGTGCTTTACTGTGGCACTTGAGATAAACCTTGAAGGAATGAATGATAGGTTTTCGATGAATAAAGAGAAGGCATCGTGTATTTTAAGGTGTGTTTATGTGGGTCAAGATGTGGAGGCAGGAGTGTGCTTGAGGAGATTAGCTTGTCTGAAGCTTTGTGGAAGGACATGAAGGATAGAGGATAAGGCACAGTTACTGCAGGTAAGGGTCAGACTCCATGATACAGATTTGGCATTGCTCCCCCCCCCCCATATTGCCTATGAGAAAGAAGGTAATTTGGAATTTTAATATATTAAAGTAATTAGGAACATCTAGGGATTGACAAGATTTGTTGCAGTGAGATGTATGCCCAGAAAAAAAGTACTGGTATGTGATTCCATGTTCAAAATTAAAAAACAAGGGGCGCCTGGGTGGCTCAGTTGGTTAAGCGACTGCCTTCGGCAAAATTAAAAAACAAAATCTCAAAAAAAAAAGTTATCTGAAAAATTATACTGTACACGTGTATAGTAATCTAACCTAAGGATGAAATTGTGGTCGAGTAAAAAGTTAAAAGAAAGATCTGTGTAACTGATTTTCTTGAGTCCATACCAGGTGACCTAATCAAATGCCACATGAAAGTCTTTAAAAAATATTTGCTGAGTAAGTGAAAGATAAAGTTTATGGATATAGATCTCCTAACTATCATAGAAGAAGATCCAGTCATTGCAGGAGCCTTTTAGACGTCTAGAACTATATTGGCTGATTTACTCTGCTGAAAGCATAGCATTTACTTTTTTGGTTTTTCTCTTTGAGTTCTGGAATTCTTACCTATTTGGAAAGAGCTGGAGAAATATGCCTTAGATTTTATAGAAATAAATTTCAAATTACATAGAAGATAAGTTTGAAACCTTTTGCTCAGGACTCAAAAAGGGAAGACAGTTGAAGAGAGATGACATTGCTAACAAAGGTTGTAACATAATCATGTCCTGATTTGGAAGACATGGGGATAATATCTAAAACCAACCATTGAATGTCCGTTGACTGATGAATGGATAAGCAAAATGTGGTATATCTTTCTAATGGAATATTATTTGGCCATAAAAAGGAAGGAAGCACTGATACATTCTACCATATGGATGAACCTTGAAAACATTACACTGAGTTAAAGAAGCAGTCAGACCACTTATGTATGATTCTATTTCTATGAAATGTCCAGAAGAGGTATATCTACGGAGACAGAGAGTAGAGTAGTGGTTTCCAGGGGTATGGGGAGATTGAGCAAAATGAGGGAGTGATTGCTAAGGAGTATGGGGGTTCTTTTTGGGGTAATGAAAATGTTCCAAAATTGATTGTGGTGATGGTCCCATAACTCTGAATATACTAAAAGAAACTATTGAATTGTACACAGAAGTGAGTGAATTATAAGGTGTGTGAATTATCTCAATGACTCAGTAAGTTAAGTGTTTGCCTTCAGCTCAGGTCATAATCCCAGGGTCCTGGGATTGAGTCCCACATTGGGCTTCTTGCTCAGCAGGTAGCCTGCTGCTCCCCCTGCTTGTGCTCACTCCCTCTCCCTCCCTCCCTCCCTCCCTCTCTCTGTGTCAAATAAATAAATAAAATCTTAAAAAAAAAAAAAAACCATTGAAATTGTAGGGGTAGCTTTTTTTTTTTTTTTTAAGATTTATTTATTTATTTTAGAACTTTAGAGCATGCTCGGAGTTGGGGGAGGTAAGGGGGAAAGGAGAGGGAGAGAGAGAATCCCAAGCAGACTCCTTGCCGAGTGGGGAGCCCAGTGTGGGGCTTGATCCCACAATCCTGAGATTGTGATTGGAGCTGAAATCAAGAATCAGATGTTTAACCTACTGAGCCACCCAGGTGCCCCTGTAGCGCTAGCTTTTCTAATAAGCTCAGATCTCATCTAGCTAAAAATCATGTGAGAACTGGGTCCTGAGAGCTAAAGTGTAGGAAGGGCTAAAGCTAGGGGAAAAGGTCATACTCAGAAAACGAAGAGTTTTTTAGGGTATGTTTAGGTATGAGCAGAGAAGGTTCCTGTCTGCCTGCCCCAGTGTACCTTGTCAGCCTTATCTCCTGTATCCTCCATGCATTATTCTACCCAGACCTGCTAGTTTGCTGTTTGCTCAAATCTAATTTACTTTCTTCATTCGACATCCTTGCTTGAGCTAACCTTTCTGCTTAATAGTCGTGAATGGGTTTTCTCTGTGCCTTCTCCCATGCCTAGAATGAGGGAAGTGACAGCCAGTTCACAAATGTGCCAGGCACTGTTATAAGTGCTGGGGAAAAGCGGTAGACCAGAAAGAGTTACCACCCTCCCGGAGCTTACTCTAATGAAAGGAGGCAGACGTGAAACATGTCAAGAAGTAACCATTCCAGTTCTAGAAGTGCTGTGACCAGGTAATGTAGAGAGTAACCTAGGGTGATGCCTTAGCTAGAATGCCAGAGAATGTCTCTCAGAAGGTGATGCTTTCACCAACACTGGGAAAAGAATGTTCAAGTTGAGGCCATAGAAAATTCAAAGGCTCTGAGATAGGAACAAGCTTGGTTGAAGGAAAGAAAGAAGGCCAACGTGGCTGGAATGGGGGATGTGGTGACAGGACGAGCCATAGGTGATAATAAGAAGTTGGGATTTTATTTTAGTTACAAAGATAAACATGGATTTAAAGCAGAAAGGGACATGACCTGATTTAGGATATTGAAAGCTCATTTTGGCTGCTTTATGGAGAGATGGGTAGAAATGGAGAACGCAGGGGGTTGGCTAAAAGAATATTCCAGTAGTCCAGGGGAGATGTTGATGACTTGGACTAGGATGGTAGAAGTGGAAATTGAGAGAAATGGTCACATCTGGGATATATTTTTGAGGTAGTTCTGACAAGAATTACTCATGGATTAGATGTGGAGTGAAAGGGAAGGAAGTTTTAGTTAGCCCACCTGGAAGGGTAGCTGTGCCCCTTCCTGAGATAAAAAGACCTGGAGGTGGTGGGGAGGGTGGGGGGTGGGGTGGGGAATTACAGATAGATGGAGCTGTAATTCTGTTTGGGGCGTGGTAAGTTAGAGATACCTAGCAGATATCTAAGTCAAGGCATCAGAAAAGGCAATTGGACATACATAGCTGGGGCTCAGAGGAGAGATCGGGGCTGTAGGTGGAGGTTTGAATATCATCAGATAGTACCTATCACTCTACCCATCAGTAGAGATGAACTGTATTAGTTTGGTAGGGTTGCCATAACAAAGTACCACAGGCTGGGTGCTCAGACAACAGAAATTTATTTTCTCATGGTTCTACAGGCTGGAAGTCCAAGATCAAGCAAGGTGTTGGTGGAATTGGTTTCTTTTGAGGCGTCTCTCCTCAGCTTATAGATGCCTGTGTCTTTTTCACATGGTCTTCTGTCTGCGTGTGTCTGTCTCTTAATCTTTTTATAAGGACACCAATCATATTGGATTAGGGCCCACCCTGATGGACTCATTTTAACTTAGTTACTTCTTTAAAGACCCTATCTCCAAGTACAGTTACATTCTGAGGTACAGGAGGGGTTAGGATCTCAACATATGAATTTAGGAGGGATACAGTTTATCCCATAACATGGCCTAAGGAGACAGCACAAACAGAAGAGGACCAAAGATAGGTTCCTGGAGCACTTATGCTTTTGAAGGTCACAGAAGCGAGCCAGCAGAGAAGACTGAGGAGGAGGAGTAGCCTGTGAGGTGGGAGGAACCACCTGTGTGTGTCTTAGGGGCTGAGAGAAGATTTTGCAAGAAAGACTTGGTCAGCTGTGGCAGATGCTGGCAAGGTTCCAAGCAAAGTGAGAGCAGAGAACTGCCCACTGATTTCCCCATCCCCATTTTATAGATGAGGTTATTCGTCTTAAGTTAACAAAGCTCTCGAGCGGCATTCTGACTATTCTTAGTGCTTCATTGTCTTCTGTATGCGAAGAGCATCTCCTCTACCACCAACAGTACCTGTGCTTTGGTGATTTTTCTGAGAGCAGTGATGTGGCCGCCAGGCTCCTGCTCTCTGGCCCAGTCTTCCTTGTGATTTGTGATACGTACCGTAAGGTCACAGGCTGGTGTTCCAGGACTGTGATGTTCTGCGGCCGGCAACACCACAGGTTTGAAGTGACGCTGAATTCTGCCATCAAAGTCGTGGTGTTGTAGAGTTACTCACTGTCGTGCTGGGATAAAGGGGGTATGGGTTTGAGAGACTGCTTGATTGTGGCAGAGGCCGCTGTGTGGACAGCCCAGGGGCTCTTCTGGGTAAAGAAGGGTCTCAGGAACTGAGCGGACAGTGACAGAAAGAGCTGGTAGTAGGAAGTCTGTGAGTATCCAACAGTCGTGATACCTAAAAGACAAATGTAAAGTAATTAAAGGAAATTAGACTAGGGGTAATTGTGGCTTGTAGTTATTTTGGGCAGTTTGCTGTGTTAGGTGTTCTTTGTTCATAGGTTATAGATGCTAAGTTGAAAGAGTATTAGAGTTTTTAATCCTACCTCTGCCAGTTAGCTGCCTGACCTCAGGCCTGTCATGTGTCCTTTCTAAATCTGCTTTCTCATCTTGAAAGTACAAAGGTGATAAAAACCTTTTTCTGCCTAACTCTTGGGGTTGTTGTAAAGATCACATAATGTAGGGGAAAGCCATTTGTAAATTGTAAAATGCTGTGCAAAGATAAATGGTTTTTATTATATTCACTCATTTGCATTTGGTTTATGAATCAGTATAGAGGAAAACATTGGGCAGATATGTTTGCATCCAATATGTCTAAAAACTGGTTCAGATATCTATAAGGACAGTGTCAAGTGAGCAAAAGGTGTGGATAGGACACACACGAGAAAATACACATTGAAAACCAACATGGAAAAATGGTCACTCTTGTAACTGAAGAAGAAAATAATAAATAATTGGTTACAGTTTCACACCTATTAAATTATCTAATAGTTTATCAGTCCATAAGGCTTTGGAAGAATTGGTTTATTCATACAATGTTGGAAAATATTAATTGGTACAATTCCTATAGAAGACAATTTAGCAATGCATAGCAAGAGCCTTTAGTAAAGTGCCTCTATCCTTTGATTCCTGTACATTTATCTTACTATTAATAGTAAGAAAAAAATTGTGTGTAAGGACATTCATTGCAGCGTTACTTGTGATATTAAAAATTGGGAACCATCTCTATATTCCTTGATCAGGTAATGTTAAAATAATACCAAAACTTAATGAACTGGGGTGCTGGCTCACTCATTCGGTAGAACGTGCGACTCTTGATTTTGGGATTGGGAGTAGAGATTGGGTGTAGAGATTACTTAAAAATTAAATCTTAAAAGAAAAAAAACTTGAACTAATATGGAACCATTAAAAATGAAGATGAAAGTTAGTGATGAAGTGATGAATTCTAAATTTCTATAGACAGGCAGAAAGTTGCAGAGGATATGGAAAAATAGAAAGTTATGGTAAGAAAGTGGGACTACAAATTCGTATTTATCTTTTAAAAAATGTCTTTGGGGCACCTGGGTGGCTCAGACGGTTAAGCATCCAACTACTGATTTTGGCTCAGGTCATGATCTCAGGATCATGGGATCGAGCCCCATGTCAGGCTCTGCACTGGGCGTGGAGCCTGCTTAAAATTCTCTCTCTCTCTCTCAAATAAATAAATTTTCTACTATTAGGCTGTGGTTTTAATAACAAAACATGTGGTATTATAATGAATAATTTTCCTCAAAGTTATCTTGTCTCACTCTACTTGATTCCCAGAAACCCCACCAGTCTCATTAGTTGTAACTGAGACCTGACGTCTCTCAGCAGACTATGGGAAATACTTGTGTTTATAGCTAAGGTTCTAAAATTTTACTTAAAGTTCTGTGGTAATTCTTATACCGGTGATAAATGTAGCATGGGATTTCTGTGTAACGGATGAGCACTTGGGCCACATGCAACAGATTTTTCTCTGGGCAGATTTGCTGAGTCTGATCATGGTTTTATATGACCATTCTCTTACAACCTGAAGTAGCTCTCTTAAAGACCCAAAAATAGAGGGAAGCAAAAAGCCAAGAAAGGCAAGGAAATTTGCTAGGAATATTGAAGAGTAGAGTTTAAGAAAAGATCATAAGGTAGCTAGAGGCAATTAAATAGTCTGGAACATTTTAGTTTGATTTGGAACAGATGTAAAGACCAAGCATGAATTAATTTTACTGGATTGTTGTCTGAAATACTAAACCAGATCATATCTATATTTCTTCCAGCTTCATAAAATTCTGGGAGATAAGGTGAACAATACTGCTGTAATTGAAAAGCAAGTACTAGAACTTTGGGACAGATTGTATCATTCTTGGTTTGTAAAGGTAAGTTATTTTATTAGAGGATTTCAGTTGTAAACTAATAAAGTCCTTTTATTTTACAGACTCATTGACTAGATAGATGTTAATTAGATAGATTATTAACATTGGGATATCATTTATTGAAATTTTTAAGCTGCAAGGTCTTAAACTTCAGGTTACTAAAAGTCCACTTGAATTGATGGCTAATCTGCATGCAGAACCCACCAGTCCCTGTGATGGGGACTGAACACAAGATGAAAACAGCATCATTAACAGCATCTTATCTCATTATGTAGAAATGCAATGTAAACCATGTGTATAATGTTAATTTTTCTAATGGCCACCTGAAAAAGCTAAAAATAAACAGTTGAGATTAATTTTAATATTTCACTTACCCCAACATACCCCCAATATATCATCATTTCAATATGCAAACAAGTAGAAAAAATCTTAGTGAGATATTTTATATCCTTTGTTTTTTTTCGTATAAGCCTTGGAAACCTGGTGATGTATATTTTATACTAATGCCGTTTTTGGACTAGCTCCATTTTAAGTGCTAATAGCCACATGTGATTAGTGGCTCCTGTTTGAGATAGTACAGCTCTAGACATTAAGAACTTTTTCTTTGACGAAGTAAAATAGATCCAAAAGTTTGGAGATCTTGATTTTTTAATCACCTTTCCCTGTTCTTGTGCTGATATACTATTATTACTTCAGAAATTGTGATGGAAAATAATACCATTTTCCACTAAATATAAAAATGCTGGTCTTGACAGCAGCTGGTTGTGTGGGGTCTGTAAGCAGGCAGGTGTATTCCTTTCTTTATATCTTCTACTAGTACCTAATGTCTTCATTGCGTAATGAAGAGTGATTTCACTGTGCCCTTGGCAAGATAGCTACCTACAAATTCCTCACTGCTGCTCCTGAAGGCCCACGGGCCCAGCCAACCCGGTGTACAGCAGTGTGGAAGAGGACTGTCCAGTGGGGAAGGAGTAGAGAACGGGACAAGTTGGTGGTCAGTTTTCACAGGGTTGACAGGAGAAGAGGAGCATGTATATATCAACCTCTTCACTTGGGGTGGAAGGGAGGAAAGCTCAGTTTCAGGTTTGAATTTGTTGCTCAGTGACCTGTTTTTACTCTTCCCCTGGGACGAATTGAGGGAACAGTGTTGGTTTTTGGGGGTTTCAAAGAGGGGAGGTTAGAACTAATTGAGGAATTTGTAGGTAGCTATCTGCTGAAGAACTGGTCAATTGGAAAGGTGTCTTTTTCCTCTGCCAGGTGTGGGGCTTCTGCTTACAAACAGCTTTTTCTATCCCTCACCCCCATTTAAAAGCTTCATTTTATGGTCCAGGAACCTCAGTGTTTTAAAAGCATAGGTCTATAAGCAGGCAGGTGTATTCCTTTCTTTATATCTTCTACTAGTACCTAATGTCTTCATTGCGTAATGAAGAGTGATTTCACTGTGCCGTTGGCAAGTGTCAGAATGCAAACAAAATGTTAAGAAACAACTTCTGTTTCTGATTGTTAACCTCACTAGTCACTTTGTTTATTCTTATCTCTTTCAAATTTAATTATTCCTGCATTCTTGTCAGTGTAATTGTCTTTCATATGTAGTTAGATTCCCCCCCCATTCTTGTTTCTTTTTCATTTTCCCCCATTTTGTCGAGATAGAATTGACATATAACATTGTATTAGTTTTAGATGTCCTTTATATTCTCTCCCCCTTTGCTCTCTTTATCTTGTGTGGAAGATTAATAAGGGGGATGAGAAAAGGAGGAAAAAAGCAAAAATGGGAGACCCAAAAAAAGGTAGAGGGGCTGAAAAGAAAAAAGAAGGTAAATGCTTTGTTGGTGTATAGTTGTACATATTGAGGAACAAAGTGTGTTCACAACTGTATTTAGGAAGGGAGCACTTGAGCTAGGCTGACACGTGGTATTGAGAAGATAAGCAGAAAAATAGAGTTCAGGTCTTTAGATGGAGTTCTTGGCTGATTTCTTAAATAATGCAAAAATTTTCACCTTTGAGTAACTGCTAAAGTGCTTCAGTGGACCCAAACTGAAATGGGGTATTTATACTTTTTCTGCTTTGGATTAAATGGAGATTTCATGTGTGAACCATTTTGTTCCGTAGAATGTAACGCACTCTGGAAGGCACAAGGGACACAAGATGCATATAAATCGTCAGAATAGCTGGCTGGGAGACATCCTGGACTGGCAGGATATCGCCTCCTTTGTTCACGAGAACATCGAGACGTTTCTTTCGGTAAGAAGTAGTATTTTTAGTGAAACTGGACTTAGAAATAAAAATAGAAATTCTAATTTCCAGTTTTCCTTGCACTGTTAGAGGCCTTTAGTTACCCTGTTTTTAATGCCATGACATTTATAATTTTGAGAGTTCTAAATGCACTAGAAAGATGGCCAAAAGCCATAGGCCTCAGGGGTAAATAGTTCCCTGGGTGCCGTCTCTGTGGTTGAAGAGTAACTGAGCAATGCTGAGTCAGGAAGTGAGTGTGCAGTGTTGCGGACTCTCACATTCTGAGAGACAGGTGTTCATGTCCCTTCAAGCTGACTAGGATGTCCCCAGGCCAGACCCCTAGAGAGAGAATGGCCTTTCTGGTGGGCAAGGTCTTTGGCAGATGGAAATACGGTTGCAGTTACTTTAGAGAGACTGGATGTTCTTTAGTCCACACTTCGGCCGTGTACCACCCACCTCTGCCTTGTTTGCCAAAGGGTCAAAGGCGGCAAGGAACCATGTTTGGTTCCACATCGTGTTTTGTAAAGTGTCTTGGCATGTGGCTTTTCACAGAGATGAGAGGAATTTTCTTGCAAATAGACTCATGACTTTCATCAAGTTAACGAAAGTTGAAGTTTGCAATGTAGTTTTTTTTTTTAAGATTTTATTTTTAAGTAATCTCTACAACCAAACCAGGGCTCAGACCCACAACCCTGAGATCAGGAGTTGCACACGCTACCAACTGAGCCAGCCAGGTGCCTGCAATGCTAGATTTTTTTAAATTTAATTTTTATCAAACTAATAGATGACCATAGTGGAGAGTAAGGAATATTTTAAGATTTTTTTGGTAAAAGATAACAGTGACCTGCTTTGTGCTTCCCCACTTCAGTCTCATTTTCTAGAAACAGTTGTCAATTCTTTTAGCTTTCTCTGAGTATTTACCTCTAAAGTTCCAAAATAACATTTATGTTGGTCTGTCTTGGTTTTGCAATTTGTGATATTATATTTTGGCTCCCTGATATGGAAGATGAAGATAAAGATGTGCTTTTGAAGTCTCTCTGTGCTCTCTTACACCACCTTTGGGGTTTTCTTTCTTTTTTTTTTTTTTTAAGATTTTATTTATTTATTTGAGAGAGAGAGAATGAGAGACAGAGAGCATGAGAGGGAGGAGGGTCAGAGGGAGAAGCAGACTCCCTGCCGAGCAGGGAGCCCGATGCAGGACTTGATCCCGGGACTCCAGGATCATGACCTGAGCCGAAGGCAGTCGCTTAACCAACTGAGCCACCCAGGCGCCCCACCTTTGGGGTTTTCTTACAACTCCCTTGGTTCTTCCCCTGTCCCTGCACTCACACTTGCCCTTCCTCCCATGCACCTAATACAGCTGATCAGAGTTTGGAGTTAAATCTAGAAATTCATGTCCTTCAGTCCTAAGACTTTATGGTTTTGATAGTCCCCTCCCTCTGTTTCCTCTAGTCCAGTGGCTATGAAACTTTTTGGTCTAAAGATTCCAAAGTGTTTGTTTTTGTGGGTTTTGTTGATTATTATTGTATCAGCAGTTAAAACTGAAAACTTTAAAAATATTTATCAATTCACTAAAAATAACATTGCGTATTAACATAACACATTTCTTGCATCTGCAAAGTAACCTTTTCCCAAAATGAAATATAATTTTTTTAAAAGATTTTATTTATTTGTCAGAGAGAAAGAGAGAGAGAGCACAAGGAGGGGGAGTGGCAGGCAGAGGGAGAAGCAGGCTCCCCACTGAGCAAGGAGCCTGATGCAGGACTCAATTCCAGGACCTCGAGATCATGACCTGAGCCAAAGGCAGCCGCTTAACTGACTGAGCCACCCAGGCATCCCCAAAACAAAAAATTACTTAGTGAGAAGAGTGGCTTTCTTTTATATTTTTTGCAAATCTGTTTAATGTCTGGATTCTCATATATTCTTCTATATTCAGTCAATTGGAATACGTTGTTTTGATTGATATAAGAAGAAAATCCAGCCTCATACGGATATGTAGATGGAAAAGAGGGGAGTCTTTTAATAGCCTTTTCAGATAATTGTGGCTCTTCTTTGATCCTACACCAAAACTCAACGAACGGTATTTCTTACAGGTTAGTTGCAGTGTGGAATTTGAAACTGTATCAATAAACTTTTTGTACTGTCTTGTATTAAAGTCCATTTATCTATCTTGGCTAGAAATGGGTCTTTTACTCTTGCATATTTTTGTGATATGCACTGGTCATTTGGAATATTGGTTCACTGATTTTTGTACATCATCTAAATATCAACATATATTCTTACAGAGTATAAAACAATCACATTCTTTAATATAACTACCTGTCTCATCAGAAAAAAATCTTAAGGTGTGAAGGTCAACCCTTGATCAAATTTTTTTTTTTTTTAAGATTTTATTTATTTATTTGACAGAGAGAGACACAGCGAGAGAGGGAACACAAGCAGAGGGAGTGGGAGAGGAGAAGCAGGCTTCCCGCCGAGCAGGGAGCCCGATGCAGGGCTCGATCCCAGGACCCTGGGATCATGACCTGAGCCAAAGGCAGACGCTTAACCGACTGAGCCACCCAGGCGCCCCTCAGATTTTTTATTCCTGCCTTCATACTTGGAATATCCAAAAGCTCTCACGTTCTAAACCTTTCTTCCTAATCCCCTTGGTTACACAGAAAGGTTACTTGATTGTTGTTGGAGACTGAGAGTCGACAACGTATTCAGTTAATTTCTTAAGAATTACAACAGAGTATTTCCTGTCAGTGTGACCCAGAAACTATTTAAGTTTTTTTTTTGATAAAAATTCCAAAATGACAGAAGCCCCCAAAAGAATGCATGTAAAAATCACAAGTAAGGGCATTGTTGATTTGTTTCTTGGAATCAGTGGTGTTTTTCATTCATTCTTTATCCCACAAGGTCAAATGGTCAGTCATGCATATTTTTGTAGGCATTGCGAAGCATTTTCAAGATTTTCTGTAAGGAGTTATTGTAAATGAAACCAGCCTGCAAAAGCTCTCCCATGAAGACTGAGCTGAGGTTTGCAAGAAACGCCAGGGACAACAAAATACGCCTTTATAAATGGTACATTTGAGATAGGAAAGGAATGGATAGGCCTTTCATAGAACAGATGGTATAACTTGCACATATGACAAAAAACAGAACTGCTGTTTTGGAAAGGGCACACCAAAATAAAATCAGACATTAGACTTCTGGTCCCAGTCTAGTTCCACTTCTTAGCTCCAAGGCCCTTGGGCAAGTTTTAAAAAATCTCTGAGCTTCAGTTTGTCTATCTTTACAATAAAGATCATGTCATCTGCATTGCTTCTGTCACAGGGAACAGATGTTATCATGAGGGAATTTAAGTTCATGGGGAGATAGGAAATGAACACATGTAGGTGTGCTATAGATACCGTACATCTTCTTTAAGAGGTATTAATAACTATTTTAATAAGTGGTTCTAGTGAATTTGCAGGTGATGGACTAAATGAACATTTTAAGTCTTGATATAAGGGTCATCGTCTATCTGAAGAAAGATTATCAGCTGCGGAGTTCTGCCCTTGACCTATTTCTTTTACTATGATTTTAGTGAAATCATCCAAGTGATGCTTTTGTGTTTGTAAGTGAATCTAAGTTGGAGGTGGCAAGGGGGGAGGTGGCTAATAGGACAAATACTAGAATTTTCATGATCTACACTTGTGATCCTATACAGGTTGCCTTCTAGCATATTCTCCTGTAGGTATTTTTTCTATAAATATCATTTTTACATAGTTATAATCATGCTGTATATAAAGTTTTTATTTCCTGCTTTTTCAGCTTTGCAGTGTTTCAGAAAATGTTTTTCTGTGTTATAATAGAGCTATCTTTAATGGCTATAATATGATTTGGAGTTAGGTTCACCGTGGTTTTCTTAACCATTTTCCTTACTGTTCAACGTTCACGTGATTTCAGGTGATTTTTTTTTTTTTTTTCATTTAAAATAATACTCTATTTTCAGTTTCTGGTACTCACACTTGTACTAAAAGCACAGCAGAGAGCTGTAGAAACTTCTTTCTGGAGGATTAGTTCTGATGTTCAGCTTTCCCTCGTCATCAGATCTTGGAGTCTCTGTGGATTGTCATGAGCCGGAACGTGAGCCTGCTTTTCACCACCGTCACAACTCTCCTGACCATCCTCTTCTACAGTGGGACTGCCCTTCTCAATTTTGTCCTGTCTCTGGTATGTACAGGTAGATAAGTGCATGGCGCCTCTCCTTCCACAGTAAAGCACCTTCTTGGTTCCATTTATGTTTCCTTCCTGTAGTTTCCAAATGTGATTTTTTAGGAGATACTATCCTTTGTTTTGCAGATAATTTTCCTGACCACCCTATTTTATCTATTAAGTTCCAGCGATGAGTACTATAAGCCAGTGAAGTGGGTGATAAGCCTGACACCACTATCTCAGCCAGGTCCTTCTTCTAATATCATTGGCCAATCTGTGGAAGAAGCTATCAGGTAGGGAGAAGATTTATGCTGTTCTTCTTTCCATTAGAAACTGCTTTCTATGAGAAGCCTGTTTTCTGTCTTGAGCCTTTCTAATAACATTCGGTGCTAAACTAGTGACATACCCTGGTATTTTCAAAAATTTTTATATCCTTTTGAGAGAATGATGTGAGCAGTGCAAGTGTTGATAAGAAAAAAATTCAGTTTCAGTTTCCTGCTGTCAGTCTTAGGAGTTAACAGCTTTCCCCCACTGCAGGCTCTTGCTGTAGCTGCAGCTCCTGTCATCATGTCACTTGCTGGGGAGAACCCCCTCTGGCACCACACATACCTCCTCTTCTCTGGGAGCCCTCCTATTCTCAGGAACTGCAGCTGTGCACAGGGAACAGCAGCAGATGGTCTTTCTGTTTCTTCCTCTCTTCCTCTGTAGCCAGGCTGTGCCCTTTGCATGAGGGTAGATCGGATACTGGAAATGCAAAGTTTCTGGTTATTTTCAAGTCACAGGCTATATGTGCATCACAGGTTCTGGCCAGAAACTTCCATCATGTCTTGTGGCGTCCATGTATTGCAGGCTTGGCTTCTGAATTAGATGATTCTTCAACTTTTTTTCTCCATATACGCTTTCCAAGTCTTTGGCTCCTGGTTCCCCACGCCTTCCTCTTTGTCATTTTGGATAGGGAAAGGCCTCTTGCAGCTCAGGCCTATCTCAGCTTCTTCCCCACCCTTGTCCCCCGTTGCTTTTAGCTCATTAGGATTCTACTGTATTTTTATTGCTTACGAATAGGTGCCCAAATTAAATCCTCATGTTATCCATCAGAGCTTCTTTTTCAAGTAAGTTGTTCGCTAATGGTCTTAAACTTATCTTGAATAATGAATTTTTGGCTGGCCTTTATGTTTCCACTTACTTTTAAGAAATAGCATTCCTTGGAACTAGTCTTTCATAGAAATCTTGATATGACCTGCTAATGCTGTCTGACTGATCTTGGCTTATTTCTTCATTGTGTTCATTTAACAACTGGTTGAGGATACCACTTTGGTCTCTGGAAAACCCTTAGTTACATTCAAATAGCATATATGTTCCTAAAATACATTCTCTCTAGAAAGGTTGCTGGATTATCTTTCTTTTTTCCTATTAGCAAGGCCTGGGTAAAGTCTTCATCAGTATCTTGCTTCCTTTATTGGCCATCAGGTAGGATTTTAAAGAATGTCCTTATCCTCTGTGGTGCTCTTGGGTATCCCATGTGGGACCATCTATGTAAAGATTCCAAGTTTGGGGGGCTCCTGGGTGGCTCAGTCGTTAAGCGTCTACCTCAGCTCAGGTCATGATCCCAGGGTCCTGGGATCGAGCCCCGCATCGGGCTCCCTGCTCAGCGGGAAGCCTGCTTCTCCCTCTCCCACTCCCCCTGCTTGTGTTCCCTCTCTCGCTGTGTCTCTCTCTGTCAAATAAATAAATAAAATTAAAAAAAAAAAAAAGATTCCAAGTTTGGGAGTGTATTATCTAATGTAACAACAGTTTTCAAGGTGAAGCTGTCTTCTTCAGGGAAGAAACTTGCTGGCTTTAGCATCCTTTCTAAGTCTGTATGATCATGGGGTATCATCTTTATTGAGTAAATAAAATGTTGAAAACTCTAGCAGTAAATTCACGTCAGTTTATCTAAGTGACCTCTCTCTGACTCAAAGAAGTTTATGTAAATCACTCAACCAAAAAGAAAAATAACCTTCTACCTTCCTAATAGGCCGAAACTATCAAATCAACCATGTCAAAGGTTGGCAGAATCCTTTAGTCAATGTGACTAAAGCCAAGCCTTACAGAAAATTATCTGCCTTGTCCCATTAAGAACTTCCAGAGAGTTACTTCCTTTTCCTGAAATAACCTTTATTAACACTGACTCTTATTCTCAAAAAAGCTTTTCTGTTTTCAAATCACGGTTCTTGAATTTTCTCTTGTCCTGCTTTCTTAGAGTGAACCACTGGTCAACTGTCCTCTGTCATTCCAGTCAATTTTGTTTTCATACCAAATGTGCCACCTCCTTTGTTTTAAACTTAATTCTTTAATGTCACGGTTGCTTGAATTGGTAAGCCGAGCTGTGATTTGTACGTTGGTCCCGCTGGTTGAAAGCACATATCCTGGAGCCCCTGGCTGGCTCAGTTGGTGGAACAGGTGACTCTTGATCTCAGGGTTGTGAGTTCGAGCTCCACGTTGGGTATATAGTTTACTTAAAAATAAAATCTTTAAAAGAGCAAGCAAGCAAGCACGCACATATCCTTCTGGTGTACCATGGTGCCTTCTTCCAGGAGTTGTTGGTTGGGGCAGAAGATTGTGAGTTTAATTTGTGACACTGTTAGGACTGTTCAAATGGACACATGAGGTTGGCAGCTAAAAATTCAGGCCTTTGACTCATCAAGGGAATTTGAGGTTACAAAGAGTATGGTCACATCTCTAGGGAGAGGAAATATAGATGTGCCTTTTCATAAATTAGATTTGCTTTATCTTCCTGGGATTGTACACACCATGCACTGTAGCAGTAGCCCATGTCTTGGTTCCAAAGGATACTGGTATAAAAACCATTCATTTTATCAAATTTTTAATTTTGGAAAAAGTTTAAACCCTCAGTACCAGAACTATAATCCTAATGGTTGTCAAAACTGAAAAATACAGTACGGACTAGATAACTTGAGTAATATCTTACTCCCTGGACCATTTGTGTAACCACACTATATCAAGTTATGTAAATTAAAGATTATAACTCAGGACAGTTTTTAGCGGTCCAAGTGCTTTTTGTCTCTTTCTTTACTGGGTCAAATTCAAGACCTAAAATGGACAGGTTTTACCTAGATGCCTCTGAAGAACCTTCTCACAGGTGTAAGATAACAATGAGTTCTAGTTCTCAGAGCTCTTGTCAGAGTTTTCATTCTGAAGGATTGTGTTCAAGACGGAATATGTTTCTTCATGGACAAAGATAAGAGGAAAAATATTATACAAGTGAATATGAAAATGTTATAAAGTCCTGAGAGTACAATTTGGTCTGCAAATCATCAATGAAATCAGACTTCATAAACATCAACCATTAGTCGTCATCACTGTTATGGTCAAGTGAAAATTATTCAACTCGTTTTATATGATCCATCAGTAAGTTGAAAGTGGAATTGAAATTGAGAGTTAACTGCATGGCCAGGCAGCCAAAGTGTCTAGGCTCTCGAAGCTTTTCCTTCCGAAATATGTGGCTACTTTATGCTGTCTCATTGAATTTTTGAACCTCAGTTATGATTCTCAGTTCTGAATAACTAAGTGTTTTTTCTAAATTGAATATGTTTGTGTATTCATTTGGATTTCCATTTCATGAATTTCTGAGTTAGTGGCATGCCTCTCTTTTCCCCAAACCATTGTCGTCCCTGTAGAGCATGTTGTGTCCTGAATGTTTGCATCACACCCTTCTCCCCCGATGCTCCCATTCTGCTTGCTCTGGTGGAGATATTGCACATTACTAAGTTGCATGTTGTCACGGCCTCCGTGCAATTTAGTGTGTGTGATATTTTCACATGAGTGCATGCACACGGGTATGGCTCTTGCTTGTGGGATTACAACTTTTCAGTGCTGGTGGGTGGGAGTCCTACTTACGAATTGGATGGGAGAATGTATGTACTGTGAGATTTCTTTTTTCTTTTTTTTTTTTGTTTTTTGGAAAGTGAATGCGCTTCTCACCTCTACCCCCCAACTCTGGAAAATTAAAAGTATTTGGGTTAAAAAAAAAAAACTGTCAATCATTCAGTAAATCAGTATTTCTATTTTTGACTTTGAACAAATTAAATATTGGTTGGAAAGAAATTCTCATGAATTTAAGGTTATAAACATTTGTTTAAATTAAAATGTATAAGGAAGAGTTTAAAGCTGTAAGAAAATGTATTTTCATTTATTTGAAGAGGTAGCTCTCCTAATACTGGAATAGAGAGACAAAATCTCTTATGCATATTTGGGAAGATCAAATTAACTGAAGTTCTTAAGTAATAACCCACTCAGTAAAAATAATGCCTTTTTAAACTACTTGATTATAGATTGGTCTAATAATCTTAAACCTTTATGTCAAGTTTCCAAGGAAATGACTTAAGAAACTTTGTCTTGTATTTAGTTTCCCATTGTGATGCTTTAAAAATTGTTAAATTAATTTTAATAGCCTTATAATTGAATTAGTGTTGAGATACAAATGTTTGCTGTTTGTCTATATGATTGAAACAGCCCCTTGTTAATTTTTTAGTTAGCATTAGAGTAAGCATCCGTGATGAGTGGGCACTGTCAAAGACACAAAACCATGTATTGGGGTGCCTGGGTGGCTCAGTTGGTTAAGCGTCTGCCTTCAGCTCAGGTCATGATCTCAGGGTCCTGGGATTGAGCCCCACATCGGGCTCCTTGCTCAACGGGAAGCCTGCTTCTCCCTCTCCCTCTCCCTCTGCTGTTCCCTCTGCTTGTGGTCTCTCTCTCTCTGTCAAATAAGTAAATAATCTTTAAAAAAACAAAAAAAACCAAAACCGTGTATTAATGTATAAAAATATTGAATTAATATTTCTACTGCCAAGAATTCCAGTTGGTTGAATGTGATGTCACTGTTGTATGCATCTGTGTGTGACAGTGACTCACTGTTTTTTCCAGTGGGGATGGAAGGCTTCCACAGAAGTGGCCTCTCCCTGTGCTTCTAAGCAGCACACTAGGTCTGCTCGTGCAGCCTGACCATTCCCCTCTGCAATGGGGAAATCCAGTGTCAACCAGGTTTCTGTACACTTCACCGTGGAGCTGGGTCTCTGGGGCAGATGAACCAGGAAATGGAAGGAGATGTAACTTTTCTTTCTTTTTTATTTTTTAAAGATTTTATTTATTTGTTTAATAGAGAGAGAGAGAGACAGCGAGAGAGGGAATGCAAGCAGGGGGAGTGGGAGAGGGAGAAGCAGGCTTCCCACGGAGCAGGGAGCCCGATGCGGGGCTCTATCCCAGGACCCTGGGATCATGATCTGAGCCGAAGGCA